AGTTAATTTCTGGGATAGTACCTTTATTAGGCCAAAGCTGCTTTCTTACAAATCCCTGCCAGTTCTCCAACCATCTGCCATCCTACAATCTGATGGTGTATAGACTCAGTACTGAAAGTATTGTTGAGTAACCCACAGGGTATAACTGTACTCATGCTTTCATTCCATGGCATTGAATTCACTGGCATGTGGGCCACTTGTTACATGCCTACCCAATCAGAAGCATTGATGTTGGTCTGTTGCTAATTGTGATTATGTTGTCTTTTTTCTTTTCCCTACACCTTCCCCCCCTTTTTTTATGGTGTTCGTTTTCATGTAGCATGAAGGGGGTCTGAATCCTACAGAGTCTATGACACGGGCTCTCATTAGCGACGATTCTGTTGCTCGTCAGACACCATCTGGCCCTGTGCAACTTGGGTATGTATAACTTGTCATAATGAAGGACTTGGCTAGCTTAGTAGTGTAAGGGAGACCTCACCTCTTGCAGGAACATTCTTACATGAGGTTTAGTAATGCACTCTCTTGTGTTTTGAAGTATAGTATATATGATCCTCTCGACGATACAGTTTGCAGCATTTAGACACTTGCTTCTCAACATTGGTGATGTTGTGTGAGATTTGTGGTAGATGAAGTGGCACTAGAACAGGACGTTCTTCAGTTTTCCCTTACTAATCAGCATTCCACAATTACCCATTCTCGTCACCATCCTCTGACGTGTGCGATATCTCTGACCGGGCAGCAAATTATCATATACTTAGTCTTCTAAGTTAGAGGTGTCATCTCTGTTGCGAACATACTGGTCACAGAGTAATGAGGGTAATGTCATTTGCAGTATGATTGTAAAATAATGCTTTTGGAACTCACTGACCAAGTGAAATTGCCAGGGAATGTAACATTTAATTTTGTAGCTAGCAAAAATAGCAGGAACAGAAAGCAGTAAGTAAATAAAAACGATGACATTTTTGCAAGGGTTATTTAACAGTGCTTTCAGTATGGAGACTTTATAGCTTAGGATGGTACGGTGATAAATGAATGATAAATTGGAGGGGATTTGGAAGGAAGCATGCATAATCTAATCAAGGAATTTGCCTGTAGGGATTGAAGAAAACCACGAAAAAACTTCATTCAGGGTAGCCAAGGGCCAGGGTGAGATTCAGCGTGAACACCTCCCAAAACAGAAAATTAAAACTCCTTGCTGCCAATAATTGTGATCTTTGAATGGTCAGAATATTGCTTCACTTCAACACACAAATCAGTCTGCAGGTGGATATAAATACTTTGTGAAACTGTCAGCAGTTAATAATCCATGTTGGTCCTTACTTAATTCGATGCTAGAGTTTGTGTATTACTATTATGACAAGAGATCTTTATAATCGGGATTGGCTATGTTTGGTTAAAGAAGTTTTTCTATTTTTTTAAATATCAGTTATGGGATAATATTAGCACATGACAAGAATGAAGGCATAACTGCAACTGGAATGTTAAGTTTAATGCCTGATGCAGTTTAAGTTGTGTGTGCAGCCCACATTTTGAAGAAATGGGAAACTTGAAGGTATGTTGCTGTTATCCGAGTGTGACTTCTTTGTAATGGTGTTTGTCCATTGTGAAATTGTTTGCTAGCTGTGTCCCTGTACTGTTTGATTGGTCCGGTCTCCTTTACGCTAGTGCTGCGGTTATTGCCAGGGGTGTAGGTACATGAGAAGTTCAGCATGCAGTTCACGTTGAAATAAATGGCTTTAAATCATGATATGAAACCAGTCTCATTATGTAATGAAATCTTTGTATTTTAAATAAAGAGGCCGACGCTTCGTCTCTGAGGTCAGAAATCAGGGTCTTTTATAGGAAGTGCCAGTGCAGCACCCTGGACCACTCTGGCTCGACTACACCCCTGGTTATTGCATGATATTTTCCACAGACAATTAAAAAGTTGTACAATTCAAGGGATACATTTTAATTGTAGGGTATCCTTAATTATATACATTTGGAACTTAGAATTATGTACCATGTAATTTGTTATACAGTTACATCATTTTTTCTTCTGTCAGTATTAAGTACCTCTTGTGAATAACATGACTGTTCAGTTTCCATGACTCTGCAACTTATCCAAGAAAATACAGCGTCTGACAAGTTTTAATGTATGTTTGTAGTGGAATTTTTGTTAGCTAGAACTGCAAGGATACCTATAAATATATTGAACTCATTTAAGGTTTCTTTGGAGATCATCAGGTTTGAACACTAAGTTGGGAACAATCTTAAATGTAGGTTGTTAACACATGTTGCTGAAATTGAATTTTACATGGCAGGAAACTATCTGGAAGAGCATTAAATAGGTGTTCCATTGTATTTGCACGGATTCCCCAGAACTAGAATATTTATAGAATTAACTGCCTCTTTTTTTTGTGATGTGATGCAGCTTAGGTATTTTTTTTCTGTGAACTTTCTTAACGGTGGAATAATGTCTGAAAGTTTCAGAATCTGTCTGTACTTCAGAACACCAGATTTTGTTCTTATCATTGGATGGTACCTGCCTTGAAGTATCCATCTCAAATCTATATCTCCCCCCCACTCCACAGTTTTTCAGTTTCTTGCCTTCCCATTTCTTTATTTCTTTGGTGTCTTCAAGTACATGGCTAAACTGCCTTGTTCTGTGTTATCCCATAGGTCTCTCTGCTTTAAATTCTTATCCTGATGTTCCTCTCATTATCTTTCTATCCATTCTTTTTATTTGGCCAAAGCATCTCTCTTATAAATGGTACCATATTTTGAATTTTAACTTCTTTGAAAATTTCATTTCTAACTCCATTCTTTCTTGTTTTTCTGCCATTAGCACTCAAAACATTTTATACACAAGGGAATCATGCTAGCTAGTAGTTAGTGTGTCAACTTTGAAAAGTAGCAGCACAAGTCATGTTTATTTGTGGACACGGACAGTGATATAGAGAATAAGGATGGTAAATGTATTGTCTCTTGTTTGCTAGACAATGCAACAAGAATTTGTGTGGGTTCTCAGATTTTAACGAATATCTTTACAGTTATTCTCCACTTATAACGTCCTTTAGACGTTTCTTCTTCCGTATTACAACACTTCTGCTATAGCTGGATAAGAACTCTCTCCTGCTAAAGTCGAAGACAAACTCTGCTAGTCTCTTGTCGACCGACTCTTATAACTTGACCTTGGACTGAATAGGGAATACCTTGTCCAAGGGTTGATTCCGCCTGCTGTTATGCAACAAACGCAGGAATACATGTTTGCCTCACACAGTTTGTGTGTAACAGTGGAAACTCCACTGTTAGCCTTTTGTTTCTGGGACAACGATTTCCTAGGCTTCGCTGCCTAGGAATTGCTAGCTGTTGTATAGCAGTGGATGAGTTCTGATTCCAAATATTCTGGTCATAGGCAGCACGCCACAGTATGTTAGAAAATAATTTTCAGTACTGTTGATTATACTGTTTGCATCTGCTTCAGGTTTTTTTCATTATTTATAAGCGTGTAGAAGTCTTGTCCTGTAGAACATTCGTAGGCTATGCAGTATTGTGTATTGCATTCTGAATTGATTGCATGCACTGCTACAGGTAATGAATGAGTTGTAGTGAGTGATGTGTGTTTACATTGACTACTTCATATTTTGATTCAGTAGAGACTTGATTTGTTCTTAAATAGTACCTTATTCTCATTGTCTACAAACATGGTAATGGATTTGTCTTATGGCTGTGTCATATTTGGTTTTTGCTTCCATTTCAACATGTAGTTAGTTCATATGTAAGTTTCAGCATTAATGTGAGTTATGTTGGTAAAGGTTTACTCGGATTCAGTCAGTTTCTTGTGTATTAAAAAATTGTCCTCTCAGATTTTTCTAAATTTATTGATGCAGTAACTCTTCAAAATGAACTGCAGAGCCTGTTTATACGGTGAGGTTGCTGTGATGTTGTATATGATGCATATGGTAGATATACACATATAATTTTGGAAGGTGAAACTGTTGCCAGATGAGGCAGCAGGTTTGGTATCTGTGTGTCTATCCAAGTACATGGTATTACATGCAAGAAGACAATAATTTGAATACCCATTGTCATGAGTATCTGAAATCTCATGGAGCAATTGAAATTTACTTCCGTATGCCATGATACTAATTGAAGTTTCTAGCAGTGTGAATGTTGTCGGAGAGGCTTGTAATAAGATTGCTTTACCAGAAACTTTGCAGGGTAGGGGGAATGGATTTTGCTGTGTGGGTGGGTCTGTATATAGCATTCATATTGAAGAGACATGAAGGGAAGTCTGATTTTAATTCAGAGAAACCCACTTCTCCATTGATGCTTATTAAATAAATATGTATTTTGTAATTTGTGTTGTTCAATTTGTATTCTGTAAAGTGTATGGTTGCCTATATGCTGAGTGAAGAACAAACCCTGGCAGCGTTTAAGCTACTTTTCATTCTGGTGTTTTCACACAAGGTACATGATTGCTTTGTGTTTCGTGGGATACAGTTTGCACACAAAGGTAGAATGAGTTTATTTGCAACAGAAATTGATACTCAGTTTAGTAACATATATATATGTATATCTGTGTGTGTGTGTGTGTGTGTGTAAAGAACACTTTAGTAGTTTTTCTGTTAAATATTTGAAAATGAGTGAGAAACGTGCCTTTACTGCTGTTATGTTTTAATACCATTTGTATCCAAATCAATATTATTATTATTATTATTATTATTATTATTATTAGTCAGAAACGTCTTTGAGGATGTGTTAGCATCAGATAGTGATGTAGGTCTGTACATCATCCTTAAAGAATCACCAAGTGCTATATCAAACATCTGGTGGGAACCAAAATCACCAATACCAGAGATATCACTGAAAACACAGGACCTTTCTGCTGTAAGACTGCCTGCTCAATGGGTGACAGCCTCAGAGATGTAACTGTTCTAGCTGCTGCCACGGCTACTGACATTAATATTGTTGCCATCACTGTGGACACTGCGTCAGTTGATATGTGTGGTATATAGGTTTGTAGCAGGTGTGATCTTGAGGGAACGAATTCCTGCGTTCGAACGCATGCTGTGGCGAGCGTGCCGTGGCAACGTGTTCCTGCGTCAGGCAGAGATTGAATCTCCTCTTGAAGATCCTTCTAACGTAAGTGTCTAGTAGTATGATGTGCACACGTGCGCTGTGCTTGCTGATCTGGAGTTTGTAGTGCATGAAAGGAAGGGATTGTAATTCTCTTCACATTTGTCTCTATCCATTCTATTTGGAAAGTAAAAAAGTTCGTGAACTTTGCCATTTTCGAGTTTCTCGTAATCCATTCCCTGTGTTTGCTCTCTTGTGCAGGGGGATAATGTCTTCAAGTCTGTGTTCATCATCTTCTTCCAAGGTGATCAACTGAAGACTCGCGTGAAGAAAATCTGTGAAGGTTTCCGAGCAACGCTGTACCCATGTCCTGAAGCGCCTGCTGACCGCAGGGAGATGGCCATGGGTGTAATGACACGTCTAGAAGACTTGAACACTGTAAGTCTTTGCTGAACACTAGGTCTGTAGTTGAACATCAAGTCTCGTGTTGAGTGCATAGTCTTTGTCAAACATGAAGTCTCCTTCACAAAGTGTTGTTAGGGTGATGAAGTGAAGGAGGGTGAAATGCACTGGGCATCATAGGAAGCATGGAGGAGGTCAGACATACACATAACAGGGAAGAGGCTACCACTTGTGAGGCGTAGGCATATATGGGGTGATAATCTTAAATGGATCAGGATTGTGTCCAGTGGCAGGCAATTATGAACACAGTAATGGCCCTTTAGGCCGCATATTGCTCAGGTCCATCAAGTGAAGTGTGTTTTTACTTTTTTGCTACAAGCCGGAAGGTCATGGGTTTGATTCCCAATGAGGTCACTGGATTTTTGAGTTGATCTAATCCTTCCAGCCACACTATGACCCTGGGGTCAACTCAGCCTATAACAGAATTGATTACAAGGAATCTTCCTGGGGGTAAACAGCAGCCAACGACTAAGGCTGGCTGCCTCACTGCCGTATGTGAGCTGATTGTCTAGAAAATGCAGGAGCCTCGACATCTCACAACGTTATGAGCCTCCGTGGCCTGATACAGGGACACTTTGCATTGATGGTGGTGTTAAACCCTTTTGGTTTCATGAAACAGACAGTTTTGAGATGATGGTCTCCTGGGTTGTAACACTATAGCCTTTTTGACGGGTACCAGAATTTCAGAGGGATGTGCTGTCCCTGTCTTCAGGGTCAGAGTGGGGTGAGGATGGTGTGAAGTTTTAGAGGCAGGTTACATGGGAAGTGGTCACTAGATCCAGGGGAGTGAGAGCAGAGATAGACTTCGATCTCCACCTACCAGACTACACAGTGCTAAACCCAGGAGACCCCAGTCTGAGCACTTGCAACTGTGCCACAGTTATAGCAAACAGTTACTTAATCAGAAGTATCTCTATCTGAGAAAATACGCTGTACCATCACGTAACAACTTTGCTTGCAGGTTTTGGGTCAAACTCAGGACCATCGACATCGAGTCCTGGTTGCTGCTGCAAAAAACATCAAGAACTGGTTTGTTAAAGTGCGCAAGATCAAAGCCATTTATCATACGCTGAACCTGTTCAACCTGGATGTGACCCAGAAGTGTCTGATTGCAGAGTGCTGGGTGCCTGTTTTGGACCTGGAGACCATTCAGCTGGCCCTCAGAAGGGGAACTGTAAGCCACACTTGCTGTGCCTTATCTGAAACGGCTTCAAACATGTATCATACCTAGAGTAGGCAACCCTACACAGCTTGTGCTATGATCGAGACTTGTGCCTTCTAATAATGGGCCTGGCTGGGTGGGATCCTCCCCCCTATGCAGGTGCTCATGCGCACCTGGTGACAGAAACAGATCCAATTTCCAAAATATTGGGTATTTTAAACATACCTCAGATTGTGGACAGTGTCCAACATACTATTTGTGTACGTACATTTTTTCAATCATGATTTACTGTGTTATGATACCATGTGGCCTCATAGATGTGTTGTCGACGTTTTGGAGCAATCTAATGCCTCTGTCGTCAGGGTACGTAGCTCACATTGCACTGTGTCTGTCTCATTATTAGAGATAGCATTAGATCTTAATGCTTATAAATTGGAAAGTAGAACCAGTCAGTTTGCCTGATAGTGGTACATTTGCTTGTTTTAATTTCTGAACCTGAAACAATTTTCAAACAGGATGCAGAGTAAGATTTAAGATTTTCACAGCGGTTGATATGAATATTTTTATTTTGTGGGGTGTGACACTTGCAGAAAGATGCTTATGTTTCAGGGAGCATCATTTGTGCTCTCCGCCAGATCCTGTGAGGGCGATCATGTGACAGGGAGATACCTATGCATAGATGGGAAAATATTAAGAGTGGGTCTAAAAGGAATAGGATGTGAATGTGTGGGCTGGATTCAGCTGGCTCAGGATAAAGCCCAATGTCAGGATCTCATGAACACAGTATTGAACCTTTATATTCCTTAAAAGGCAGGGAATTCCTAGACTAGCTGAGCTACCATTAGCTTCTCAACCTGGACTCTGCTCAGTTCATCGGCAGATGAGTAACAGAGCTGTGTTGTGCTGTGCAGGAACGGAGTGGCAGCTCCGTACCGCCGATTCTGAACAGAATGGAATCATTTGAGGATCCTCCAACGTACAACCGGACCAATAAGTTCACGCACGGTTTCCAGGTGCTGATTGACTCTTATGGTGTTGCCACTTACAGGGAGGTGAATCCAGGTCAGTGCTTCAGTGTGCTTTGCTATTGGAAACCGAGACTGCAGTGGAACCCCCACTTCACGATCGTTTGGGGACCAGTGGATTTGAACACTAAACTGAGGAAGTTTAATTCGGAGATTATTGATTTGGGATCATTGAAATTGAACGTTAAATTGGTGTAAATAGTGTCAAAAAGATTGTATGATAGTGAATAATGAATTGAAAGGATGTGGAAGGAAGTGGTCATAGCCACATTTAAGATTTGCTTACAGGAATTGAAGAAATCCATGAAAAGTCCCTCCAAAAAATATTCATTGCCCATGACTGTTGTCTGTGTATTTATCTGTTTTCACCAAAGATGTGTCAGAGTATGTGTTCATATGCATGTTGATGTATCTATGTGCACATGTGTATGTGTTTGTTTGGATGTGCTTGCTGTGCTCAGGTTTTAGACAGATTTATAAATTGTACACAAAACATCTGTTTTTACATACATAATAATGAGAATAATGTTGGCACAAACCTTCACATAAATAGAACTCAGTCTTTATGATGTCAGGTCCTCCCAGTTCTCCATTTTTGCAGAGATTTCTAACTTACCGTCTTTTCATCTCCTCCCCTCATAATCAACCACTTTCTCATTGGTCTGCAAGGTGCGTGGAGCGGCAACATTAGACAGATCATATAGTTTCGCACTTGTTTATCTCTTTGATGCATGGAGCTTATCTAGATGACATTCAAGACTTCAGTTTCTGCTTTGCAGGAAACGCTTTGGACTTCCATTGCAAGGTGCAAATTGTTGATGCCGTTTAAGGAAACAGTCACTGTTTACTTCGAGAGTAATGCTAAACACATAAATATGCTATGTGCGTAGACTGCACAGTTTGTGAATGATAGAGCAGGTTACGCAGAGTTACCGTTGTGCTGATGTTTATTTTTCAGCCCCGTACACCATTATCACGTTCCCATTTCTGTTTGCCGTAATGTTTGGGGACCTGGGGCATGGAATGATCATGGCAATGTTTGGAGCTTGGATGGTTCTTCGTGAGAAGCCTCTGGCAGCCAAGAAGTCTGACAGTGAGGTAACTACATGAGCACTTTTCTTTCATTGAATGGGGAGCGAGGGTAGCTCAGTCCATACAGTGCTTGGTACAGGCTGCGATGTGGAGGAACTGGGACTAATTCGTAGCAGGGGAAAGAGAAGTTAATCTTCTCCACAATGCCCAGACTGACACTGGGGCCCACTGAGCCCCCTGTCCAATGGTATTCAAGGGCACTCCTCAGGGATAAAGCATCCTGTGCATGTAGCTGACTACTTACTCTGATCATGTGTTGAGGTTAAGAATACAAGGAGTTGTACCTCTACTCCTTCATATATATCATCATAGTTTGTTGCTTAATTAAGTATAGGGACAATTTTACCTCTTACTGTCTTACTATCTTGAATGACTTTTAAATTTCCAGATCTGGAATATTTTCTTTGGAGGCCGCTACATCATCCTGCTTATGGGCATGTTCTCCATGTACACAGGCTTCGTCTACAATGATACCTTTTCAAAGTCTTTGAATGTATTTGGATCCTACTGGTCTGTCAATTACAATGCGTCGACGGTTATGTCAAACAAGGATCTGCAGTTAAATCCTAGCACCACTGACTACCAACAGTACCCGTATCCAATTGGACTGGATCCCGTGTGGCAGGTATGTTGCCAACATACCTGCATCCAGCTGCAGGCTGTAGAAGGCAGGTACAGGAGAAGGATCTCTAGTGGGAGATTCTGGCCCTTAAAATGGCACAACCAAGCATCTGAAAGGAAGAGAGACGATAAAAATATTTTAAGATGGGAGCAGTAAGTCCGACATGCAGGAAGATAGTGATACCAAGCAAGCTGGCTTAGCAGGAATGCCCTAAACTTATATTTTGGATGTGCTTGGTTTGAATGTCAGCAGGGACACTGGCTATCCTGTCTGGGGATTTTTGTGGTTTTCCTCAGTCCCTCCAACGAGAATGTCAGGATAGTATCTCGATTGAGCCACGACCACTTCCTTCCCAGTCCTTTTCATCTCATCTGCCATCCTGTAAACTAGCTGCTGACAGTGTTCTGAAATAGCTGTCAACACAATAACATAGACCGTAATTCTCAGTTTTGTATGTGTTTCTGTTAGCATCCTGTTGCACATCACTTATTTATTCCTTGGTAGTTATCAGCCATCTTACTTGCGACTTTCTTTTTAAAACCTTTAGAAGTTTTACAATTTAAAATCTCAAATCTCTTTTTACATACCTCGTATATGCACACTACACATTTTAACCAACGTTGGTCATCTTCAGGTGTCTCTAAAATTGTTGATGAAACTGCTGTGCTTTTAAAGGTTTTGAAAAACAAGTTGCATGCAAGATGGCTAATAACTACCAAGGAATAAATTACTGTCATGTTGTTTAATTATTGTTTCAGGTAGCAGAAAACAAAATCATTTTTATGAATGCTTACAAGATGAAGATATCAATCATCATTGGTGTTTTCCAAATGCTGTTTGGCGTTTGTCTCAGTCTGTGGAACTTCATGTGAGTAAAAGAAGTTTTCAAGTGCACTCAGTCCCTGAATAACACTGTAGATGCAGTCTTGAAAAGTTTGTGCAAGGTAAAATTGGATTGGTCACACAGATTTCTCATAACAAATAGTGGAATATAAGGTTGGACCTAAAACCCAGCCATATTAGTTGAAAAAGCCTCACTTTAGAAAACTGTTAAACCAAATTTGTGTTGGTAGATCTTGTGTTAGTCATGGGTTGGGTGTGTTTGTAAAGAGAGTATAATTGCCTCATGAAATTGGCATGTTGTGTGCCTGTGTCCAATGGATAGGGTGTTTCATAATCAGAGTTACTGCCACATAAGAAGATAATCGTTTTCTGACCACCAAGCAGGATGACTCACACAGTGATGCTTGTGGCTTGTGTTCAGGTGATGCCTGGTTCAGATCTCAACTGCAGCATTGACTATCAGACTGAAGTTCTTCGTGGTTTTCCTTATTTCCTTCAAGAAAATGCTAGAACACAATCTTAAAATAGTAACTGCCTTCACCCTAATACTTTGTTTACTGTAGTATGTACAAAGGTTGTTCAAATGAAAGCTGTACATAGTGCTGCTTGTGTGTACGACCAGTTGCAGGTGATGATGTCGGTGTGTGCATAATACTGCAACAGTTAACAGCAAGCAAGCCGTGCAACAGAACAGGCATGCTGGGTGTGTGCATAATACTGCAACAGTTAACAGCAAGCAAGCCGTGCAACAGAACAGGCATGCTGGGTGTGTGCATAATACTGCAACAGTTAACAGCAAGCAAGCCGTGCAACAGAACAGACATGGTTCAGTGCTGGCATTCCAGGTTCAGAATCCATTCAGACAGGCACAAGGTGTCATTCAGTTCCATAGTGCCTACGGTTGTCAGCCGGCTGAAATTCATGACAGAATGAGTGATGTGTGTCTCAGACAGTGCTAGACATTCGTTTAGGGTGGCAGGGAAGAAGCGATGAGGCACAGCCAGGTCAGGTCAGGCCATGGAAACTGTTTGTGCCCTCACAGAAGTGTTGAACTGTAGATTTGGGGCAGACAGAGTAGTAGTTGCAGCAGCAGCCCAGGGATTGTTTGCTCCTCCTCCTTTCTCAGCAGGTGCATCAATGGGATGCCTACCATGGTGCCCATGAGGACTGTTTTAATGGCTTCTACTTCACCCTTTCCTGAACAGATTCCATTTGAACAAGCCTCATGCAGTATGTTTATTTTGTAACATGATTTATGTGCTTTTGGCATATTAAGTTACACTTTGTGTGACTCCTGTTACTAACTCTGTTATAACACTGTTGGAGGAAATTCTGTCTTGCAAAGCCTTCGGGGGGGCTCAAGATTGTAGCTATATTACTGGAACTGCCACTTGTTGGTGGGATTGCTCTCAAGATGGGAAAATCCTGTCATACTTCTCACTGCCATCTTTAGGTCTCTTGGCTTGTATCAAATTCTTGTCATACACCTGTCACAAAAATTCTGTTATCACAACAAAGAGGTAATGTGACTTGTGTTTGAGAGGTGCTTGTCTTGAATCTTGGCCAGAGCATCGACTATCCAAACTGAAGTTCTTTGCGGTTTTTCCTCAGCCCCTCCAGGCAAGTGCTGGGATAGTACCTCAGTAATGCCACAACTGCTTTCTTTCGTATCCTTTGCCTGTTATCTTCCCATTCAGTGCTGTGGTCTAGCTACTGACAGTGTTGTGAGGAGACCCAGAAACGAAACCTTGGATGATGTGGGGACCCTGTGTTTTGAGCTGTGATCATGTTAGTGATGCAATGTGTCCAATACCGCACAGTTCTATTGTCTTTGTTTCAGATACTTCCAGAGACGCATCAGCATTTACTGTGAGTTCATCCCTCAAATCATATTTCTGTGCTTCTTGTTCCTGTACATGGTGATCCTCATGTTTGTCAAGTGGACCAATTATGGACCAAGCACTGGTGGTGAGTAGGACGTTGTGACGAGCGCGTGTGTGTCGTGAGAACCTGAGACAGTGGAGCTACCTTTTAATGTTCTCCATTTAATGTCTCTCCCTCTTTCAATTTCAGTGGTTCCATATGTATAATCACAGTGTTAAATTTCTTCCATGTAAAGTGTTGCTCGCCATATTGCTCAGATCTGCTCCCCAAACAAGTGGGAGCATCACCATGTATCAACCCATGTTGTGCTGATGTACAGGCTGCTAGACTTCTGTGACTCACCAAACTATATAATGATACAGTTGAACAACCAGCACTACTGCTTCTTATTGAGGAAGCCTTGTTTTCGAACTTCAACTGGAAAGCAGAAATCCCAAGAGTGTTTTTGTGGTTTTCCTCCTACCCTCCAATTGGATGATTGTGCCATTACTTCTTACTTCCATGTCGTATCCAGTTCACTAACCACTTTGTCATTCAGCTCTGTATAACCTGAGCTATTCAAAGCATTGCTACTTATTAAATTAAAAAAAATGAGTTGCAAGAAATTTTAAGATTCTGAAAGGGTAGATCACCAAAATGAGACTGCTTGTGGCAACATAGTTGCTTTGATTCTCAGTTGAGATTATTTCAGTATTTATTTCATATGCCATTATTTTAGAAATTAGTGTGATATTGTTATGCATATAGAAATTATTTCCATACCTACTTATGTAAAGAAATTATTTTATTGTGATATTGTGCATCACAATACATGAATTTTTACCAACTGAACACTTTGATTTTTTTAGTAAGTCACATTCAGTGGAGAACATGATTTAGCATGAGAAAATTGCCCCAGAGATTCAGTAAATTGAGATTTCACTGTTTGTTTTATGATCCTGTTTCAGATGTAAAGACAGGTCCGTACTGTGCTCCATCAATCCTCATCACTTTTATTAATATGGTGCTGTTCAAAACAAATAGTGCCCCAGCTGTGTGTGATGCATACATGTACAGTGGACAGGTGAGTGAGTGAGTGTGACCACAAAACCAACATTATTGTTTGTCTGACATATTTATTGTTTATTTAATAATGCTTTCATTGCACAAGTTGGCTCCACTGGTAACACTTCTAATCTGTACTCATGGGGTGTTTGACTTCAGTCGTAGCTGGAGCACTGACATCCTGACTGAAGTTTTCCATGGTTTCCTTCGTTCTGGCAGATGCTGTGATGGTGTATCAGATTCAGTCACAACCACTACTTCTACATCCCTTCAAGTTCAGTATTCACTAATCATCCTACCATTCACCGCTGTATAGTCTGTGATACCATCATCAATAATGATGCTGTCAGTAATGCAACACTGTGTAACATTGACTGGTAGGATGAGGGCGTAATGAATTGGCAGGGATGCAGAAGGAAGTGATTGTGGTCTGATTATGGCCTGTCTTTGTATTTCCACATAGGGACTCAGAAAATTTCACGTGAATCCTCCTGGATACGGTTATCTGGCCTCTTGACTGAGATTCATGCTGCGGCACCTGAATGCAAGGCAGACAGGAGGAGTACTGCTTGAGCCATCTTCTTCCTCTGGTAGCCCCAAAAGAGAGGCAGATGATGTAAATGACATGAACCTTCACTTGTCTGCTCCCAGTTGGTTTTCATTGTCTTCTGAATGGTGATAATCAGGGCCTGGATTTTGATGACATGTCATCTTTTTTTCCTTGTATCCCATGCGATGCTCTTAAATATATAAATCTCAGATATGAGCTGCTGGTTACAGAAATGTAAATTTTATAGGTAATTTTTTGACATTTTTAGGTTTAAGATAATTATTTCATTTTGGGGGTAATGTTTTGGTAAATTTTTGGACTTTTAAGGGTATTTCTTGGCATTTTTTGGCCATTTTAGGGAATTTTTCTTCATATGTTCTGAAATTTCAATAACATGGAAGTGAAGTGTTCTTTCTTTTCTCCTTTAGGTCATTTTTATGGATTTTTTCGGTCATTTTATAGGTAATTTTTTTAATATTTTCAGGTCATCAGAATCCGGACCATGCATATTACATTTTTGGGTCTTATTTTAGGTCATTTTTCTGGATTTTTTCAGTCATTTTATAGGTCATTTTTTAAATATTTTCAGGTCATCAAAATCCGGGCCCTGGTGATAATACTGTAACATGTTTAATAGAGCTGCTCCTTTAATAGAATGTGCCAAAGAACAGTGATCAGAGACTGTGAAAACTGGTAACTTTCAAAGAAGGATGACAGTCGGGTTTAGCGATAACTCTAGAAGCAGGGTGGGTGGCAGGAAGCATGGAGGGCAGAGGGCAGAGGGGTGTTGTTTCTGTGCAGATGTCAAATTCAGCATGTGCTCAGGTTAAGGAACAAGTTGGTCAACATATTCAGAACAACCAGAAAATCAGAATTAATGAAACTACTTCTGAAATGTGTATCAGTCATGTGGAATAAAAAGGTCATAAAAAGATGTGTTGTTTAGAGATAATTAGATGACTTGTGGACAGTTGAATCAAAATTAGTGTAATTATATGTAAAGATAGTGATGAGTCAAATTACTCTGTGATTTTTTGTCATGGCTGTTACTAGCATTGCTCTAGCTTTATACAAACACCGAAATAAGAGTCTGGCTTGAGGTTCTTACAGCTGTGAATGCAGTGCAACCCTATCATGTTTAGGTTTCTTGTGGGGGCAATGGATTTGAATGCTAAGCTGAGGAAAATCTCAAGTGGAGGAATCTGGTGCTGACATCACTGACTTAGGGTTGTTTAAATAGGGCTCCACTATAGTGGGACGTGATGAGATGTCTAGGTACCAACATTTTGGAAATCCAACTTGACAGTATGCTGACTGCATGGCATTGCACCCAGAAAGATTGTAATCTTAATGTTCAATACAGTGAGAAGCTCAGATATCGTGTGATCAGTTAAGTCTGATTACACCAACCTGTATTCGCATATTTGTATTTAACTTGCTGAACACTTTAATTCTCGTTTTCAGCAAGCATTCCAGATGCTGCTTGTTGTGGTAGCTCTCATCTGTATCCCATGGATGCTGTTCGCTAAACCAGCGCTGATCCTGAGAAATAAACGCAAAATGCACGTTCCAGTAAGTTCTAACAGGCATGAAGCAAGACAGCTTCTTTGTAGTGTGATCTAAACACTGAAGGCAAGGAAAGGTAGAGTATATAACATGGAGACGTGCATGAGTGGACATACAGCTCCACACATTTCGTACTTCCGCACTATCCAGGCAAGTGCTTGGTTTCTCACCCAGGCTCCCATATTAGGGAGCAAAGAGCTTCCAGTGTTTGTTGGCTGTGAGGGTGGATGGGTCCCAGCTGGTAACCTGATGCCAACCATCTGGCTCACCACTTTGCACACCCCCTACAGGTCACTAGTGGGAGGTGATGGAATGACCTTGACTGGCCAAAAGAATGTCTGCAACTTCGGTCAGGATAACAGATCATTTAGCTAAAATTGAAGTATTAAAATCTGATTTGCGTTCAGGGGGTTCATGGTTTGTGTCCAGAATTCAGCACAAGATCTTGAGTAAGGTTTTTCTTGGTGTTCTGCAGTCTTACCAGGTAGAAGCCCAATATCTTAGTACCTTAGAGTAGGCCGTGACCACTTCATCTTCTACCAACACAGTACACAGTCTTCCTCCACTCATCTTGTGTGAACATCACACGGCCCTGATAGTGTACAAATTGACAAAAATATTCGACACGGATAGGGTATGATAATAGGATGTGCACTTGATGTTTTCACAGTGTGGAAGATCAGTGGCTTGTGCTGCTTAGTTTGGCAGGTGGCTGCCACATTTTGGAGGAATATGCTTCCTCCATCTTCAGGGTAGAAATGTGCCAAGTTTGGAGAGTTGCCATCGGACCAGTAAGAAGAGACTGGCCAGTGTGAACTGTACCCCTGCAAAGAGCAACTTCTCCAGGATATAATGAAGAAGGGGTAAAAGAAAATATGGTGATAGAGGAGAGCTCCGTCCCTGGTACTGATTGGCCATTCATTCCTCCCCTGCATAACTTGTTCCCCACACTTGTACATATGGGGACTGAAAAATATTGTCACGTGAATGGGGTACTCAAGACGAGGCTTCGATTGGTAATTGGATTTATTAGCAACCTCCAGGTCTTAACTACAATTAATTACTACACTATTGCTGCTTTACACAATTTACAAGCACTCCAGTACACCTGCACCAGCCTTACAACACAGGAACTATAACAGTCTCGCTAAATCACACACTCCCAATACCTCTGTACTACGGCACACATAAAGTCTTCAAATCACACGTTAAGTCTTCACATGCTGACCTCTTGTGCTCTTCTGTACGCCTAGTTCAAATTCCCTCTGAACTTGCAGCTCACAGCTCTTGTTATATAGCTGCGGAACGGACATGGACCTACAGTAAACACATATCATGTGATCGCTATCCCACCAGAGTATTGGCGCATTGGTCACATGTACAGAAAACGCAACTACTTCTATTGTTGCATGTTGGACTGTGTTTACAGAGCTGTTGCCTGGCAACACATTGAACAAATCCATTACAATATCATCTTGTCAACAATGGCAACTAAAAATATGGCGATTGATTTCACGCAGATCTTAAGAGCTGTGGCATTTTCACTCAGCCACTTGATAAAAATTAAGATCAGCAAAATGGGTAAGCCATAGCAGTTGCTCGCTTTTAAGTTCGGTGAAATGCACATTATCACATGTCTGGCCAGTATGTGTTTAGAGCAGACAATAAGAAAACAGGAAGGGATGAATCTTCCAATAAGATTGGAAGTGAGGGTCACAGCAAAGTGACAGAAAATAGTGATCTGTTGTTCTGTGGCGCATATGTTACACATTTTGCATCATTGCATTTTTGGTTAAAAGTGCGCTATATATATGTGCAACATGTTGGTCAGTTTAATGACATGACTTGTCACAGTCCTTCGGGTGTAGGTAAGCAAGATATTTGTCTGGCTACTGGACAGATGTATAGTGGGATGAATATGTATATTGTGTGTTCTTTCTAGTTGAACAGTAACCATCATAACCATGCAATGGGCTCTGAGAACGGAGATGCGGAGGCAGCCTTGAGCCAGGCTCAGGTTCCCCCTCCACTGCCACCACACAAAGAGGAGGAGGAGCATGATGTGGGAGAACTTTTCATCCACCAGGGTATCCACACCATAGAGTATGTGCTGGGCTCCGTGTCGCACACAGCCTCGTACTTGCGGCTCTGGGCCTTGTCACTCGCACATGCCCGTAAGTCTTGAAGCTCCGCTCAGTATTGGCCTTGTTTTATAAGAGGCTGTAATTCTTTTCTCTTGTTTGAAATGAACTTCACAGTTACTGCGATGAATTCCCTAATCAGTAAGTCTCTAGGGGAATGGATTGTCGTGCACTAAATGAAGGTTTCACGTAAATGGGGGTTATGCAAAATTACATTAAGAACTGTTCATCTCATAAGACTTACTGTATGTAATTATGAGAAAATTAATTTATTTACATAAATAGTTAAGGAATTGTTTCTTCATAGATAAATACAATTGCATAATGTATAATATTAAACTGATTTCTAAAATAAACAGTTAAGCATCAAAACATCTCTGATCCCACAGTAGTACAGTTTCTGTGCATGTTAATGGGTGGTGTTGCCAGAGATGATGTTTGTACAGCAGTGATTTCCAGAAGAAAGAAAATGTGAATATTATTGTTTTTAGCAGTGTTTGTACTAAATAGTGGTATGAGTTTTGGATGGTTGAAGGTATCACCCTAAATGCAGGTTAGTTATATAATCAGGAATTCACTACTTAGGGGTAAATAATATATTAATGTACAACTTCAGCTTTTGCAAATTAGGTGCATAGGATGTGATAGGTTTTCCAATATTTCATCAGACATTGCAGTTTGGTGGGTGTAAGCAGTGGGAGATTAAAGAGAGGGACAAGGAGCTATCCAGCAGGGACAGATCAAGTGGTTGAGGTGAAGAGGTGACGAGCATTTCTAGTGACCATGTAGTTAGGAGAGGAGATGCTGAGATGTGAGGTAGCGACTAAGAAGTTGGGGAAGATGGAGACGAGAACATTTTTAATGACTGAAATTTGAACCTAGCGTCTTCCTGCTATGAAACAGGAATGGGAACCACTGAACCACAACTATTCAGTTGTAGCCAGCATTACAATGTGTAGTTGTGACGCAGAGTGCAGTGGCATGCTTGCTGTTGCAGAGCTGTCCGAGGTGCTGTGGAACATGGTGTTACGTAATGGGCTAATGTTTGAAGGCTGGGTCGGAGGCATTGCCCTCTATATCACGTTCGCCATCTGGGCCACCCTTACAATTGCCATCTTGGTTCTTATGGAAGGCCTGTCGGCTTTCCTCCATTGCCTGCGACTGCACTGGTATGTTGTCTGGCTGAATGCATGCAGCAGTAGACGTAGAAGTCCTGTGTGAGATTCCAGCTTCTTATGGTAGTGAATGTGAATATTGCTGTCCTGTGAGGTGTGATCCCATGTAGTCTGCCAAAAAGGTACCAACGTTTCAGAGGCACCTCCTGCCTCCACCTTCAGGATATTAGAGTCAGCTACACTAGAAAACTTCTAGGGAAAAGAATGTTGGGAAATATGTGTTGGTACTCTCTTAATGGCTGGGGAATTTTGGCCCTTTAAAAGGCCATTTTCTAAGGGGAATGCGGGTAAGAGAAAAGGCAAGGCACCCACAGGGGCTGATTCTAGGGCAGAGTGGCTGAAATAAAGAATAAAGTAAATAAAAGGGGATCTGAGTGAACCAATAGGAAGTGGAGAGAAGTGTGGAGAACAGACAGAAGGGCCGATATTCATTACCCTCTTCTCCTTACTGCTATTGGTTCCCCACAGCCCCAGTATTCGCCCTTTTCTCTGTATATGTGCCACTTATTTTGTGTGTTTGGCTTGCTGTTTTACCCAGAATATAGAGATACCAGGTTCCTCCAATACTCTTGTAACAATCTGTGAGACTACAAAGAGTCGCATCACAGAATATCTTCATAACCATTTTCATGAGAACCTCACATTTCACAATGATAAATGTGTAACAGTTTATGTTTTCTTTTCTAGGGTGGAGTTTCAGAGTAAATTCTACCAAGGAATGGGCTATCATTTTCAGCCATTCTCGTTTGAAGCAATCTTGGATTCTGCTGCCCAAGGCCCAGAAGAATAGATAACAAATGTTCAGTGAAGGAACTGTCTGTATAGTGGAGCAGCCATGGGCTGCATGATAGTTGCACTGTTATGGTCTCTGTTTAGTACACTGTATTATGATCATTATTGTTTTAACGTGTCTCCTTGAGGTTTGGTGAGGAAAAAGAGATTGATCAGAAAGTTTGTACAGGAAAATTCTGATTTAAAGTTTCTGTGGACCACAGTGGATTCAAGAATTAAACTGAGTAGAACTGTAAGTGGAGTGAATATCTTTATTTTGAAAAGCTATATATATATATATATATAATTGTATAATATTTATTTTGAAAATTCTCGGTCATATTAACGGAGATGAGGGACAGTGCCCAGTGCCCAAAGTAATTTTCATGTTTATTTAACACGTCATTTCCGGAAACATTCAAACTTAGGTTTATTCACTTTTAAAAAATTCCTGCAATAAGGACAAGTGGAATTACCTTTGCCACTTGATCTAGCTTGTTAGCCCTTTACTTCAAAACATGAAGTTATCTAACATGTTCATGTGGTCATCCTTTTCCATATCATAATCCTTGTTGAATTCTGGTGACTGGATCTGTTACCTGTGTTCTGTGATTGCATTTAAATTGTTTTAGTTTTTTTCTCACTATAAATCTGCACATATGGACATTTGTAACAAATATAATTTTATTTGTACTCACATGTGAACAGCATAAAATCACTAGGCTTGATCCAGGAAACAGAAGTAACAGTGGTTGAAACAGCAATCCAAAACAAACTTTCTCATCAAACCTTATATGTGGTGCTGATGAAGGCTGTTCAGTCATGCAACTGCCAGACAGGATGCATGTGGTTTCTCTGCAGTTTCCCCATTACCTTCTTTCATGTAGTAAGAAAGTATTTGAACTGAACTGTTCACAAGTACTTACTATCACACTGTTAATGGATGTATTGAGGAGAAGGAAGTGGGGTGACTGCTGGTGAAACTTGTGTGTTGAGCTGACTGAAAGAGGCAGGTAGATTAATAAACTTTCATGACATAGAATTCCTAGATCTGATAAGGGTTAGATGATAAGGACATTTAATATTAGTTCTAACTGTAGAAATGTTGTTACCATGTATATATACATATAAATCAAGTTGTCGTCAATACTCGTGTAAATACTGTCATCTATCAGATTGTATTTATGTGTACAGATGGGATTACGTGTTTGCTAAATACAGAAGAGACTGTGTTGTATGTTGTCAGTTAAGGCATTGAAGGAGCTTAAGTCAGTTTAATTTATAGTGCTGATTGTAATTGTCTGCATTTCAAAAGAAATAATAAGAGCCTTCTCCTTATCACAACTGAAAAATTTTGAGTGTTATTTACTTATCCTGTTACCTGCAAAGTTCAGCCTCACTTTTCAATGTGCTGTATATGCATCTTCATTTTTCACGTTTGACATAAGATACCTGGTGAACTGTGTGTGGATATACATAGCTCTGGCAGTAAGGCATTGGCTTAACACTGCAGATCCTTCTGCTCAGTCCCACGTGATGTCATGGGAGGTTTATGTTGGAAAAGAGTGGCACTGAAACAGGTTTCTGGCTGAGTTTCTTTGGGTTTCTGCTCCTAATCATCAGAAATTGGAGAAAAGCCAGCTCTAATGCCATTTGTCTATCACATATCTCACATGTAGTTACCTGGGCCTCACTACAGGAAAATATTACAAATGCAGGAACAGACATCTGTAAATACGGGTGGGTTTTCATTAGTGTTGTCAGTGTAAGTTTCGAATCATGTGTTTATGTTTTGGAGTCAAGTCAAATTTATTCTGTAGTCACTTTAAATTTCAGATTTGACATAATGTTTTTAATCAGTTCTGATTTATTCACACAGCTTAGATTTGTTGTTTGCATTTAGCTTAGTTGTAATCTTTGATTATAATACAATTTCTGAACGCACTGTTAGCTTTGTCCTACCCTGTGGCTCATATCTGCCAGAGATCATTATGAAATCTGTAAGTGTAATAAAAGTATTCAAATAAATGTACCCAAAACTTGAAGTGTGAAAGAATCCAGTCTACATATTTGTATTTCAAATAATTTATGTCGATTTTAACATTTGAATTTAATCAAAACTTGGAAGTCTTCGATAGGAGTTATGTAATTTGCATTTGTGTACATTCATGTGTCTTGGACAAATAATGAACATCTGTTATTTTGTGTCCAAAAGGTGTTTATATGCCAGTATGTGTCAGCAGAAGGTGTACCAATGTACCATGTTATTGACAGTATTATTGAGGCTTCGAATTTTTGCGTGCTGTTCACTGTTCTTGCAGTGATCATGTTATATGATCATGTGTCACATTCCTTGTTCATGTAAAGAAATTGGTTTAAGAGTGAAGACCTTGTACAACATTGAGTAAATAAATCTAAGCAGTTTGTCAACGTACGATGTGATTTAGATCTATAACTGTTTGGCACCCATTTCCTATTTTGACTTGCTCTAGGGTCCATCCTTTCTCCTAGGCATTAGTTCAAGCTGTGCCTTTGTTTGATTGCTGAAACACATGATAACGATGTATGGGGATTGGAGGTAGAGCTCAATTCTTAACCTTAGCAGTAAGTGGAGACGAGTTAACTTCTGCACTGCCTGCTGTACCTCTAAAAACAAGCCCCTGTTCCTCTTTGTATGGGAGACTTGGTGAGGCCCAGAGCAAGTCTGGGCACTGTGAAGACAGGATCTCTTGCCCCAGCTGGGAATTCAACTGCCAGACATCATGGCTGGAGGGCAAAGCTGACCATGGACCTCATTCTAATGCCAATATCTAGAAATGTGCAGTTGTGTGTCTGCTGTCATGTACATCATGATGTTCTTGATTCATTTTCTCTGAACACCATGAAATATGATCAGCAGGGCAGCTGAAATGTAATTAATATGACTTACATATTCAGTGCACCTAGTTCTGACTCTTGAGACTTCTTTAAATGGAACCCTGACTACATGCATATGCATGTAAATAGCAAGTCCCTGCTTTTTCAGAGTAACCTCATATAACCAATAAATAAAATGAAATCTTTCATCAAAGAAAATATCATGGTTGTACCTTCAAGACTCGCCTTGCAAATGAAATTGAAGGATATGGTATATAGCATAGTTATCACTCATTTGCTTCTTGGTTCCTGTTTGGCGTATGATGTCATCCATTTCCTTAGCTTTATATGTCATCTGGCTGCATCTAGGTCCAATTAAAATGTGTCTGATCAGATTATATTTAGGTCACACATGGTTGAGATGGTACTCAAAGCTTACTTCTTTCTGATCAGTGTTTAATTCTGCTCTAACCCCATGTTGCCTAATCAAACCAGTCCAAAGCGTTTGTTAGCAAAGACATCATGTTATCACTACTAACATTCTTGGAATAGAATGGCTAGATTACTGGAGGGGGAGTCTAACAGCTTGAGGGAGATATGGAAGGGGTATTTGAACCATGGAACTTCTACACTAAAGGTGGAGGTAGCAGGTGCCTTTGAAATGTTGGTACAAATTTACTAGTCTATACAGCATCACAACCCAGGAGACTGCAGTCTTCATATTAACTACTATGAGAGCTTCAGATCTCATATTTTTGGGTACTTAGTGAAACTGACATTTTGGGTCTGCATCATTCTGCTCTCTTTTCCAATAACTAGTTCTCCAATTAAATGCTAACTTCTTTTTTAAACTTTCAGTCCAATTTCAGCCATGTCATAATTTCTGATTACAGGTATAAATATGAAAATTCCTTTGTACAGTTTGTACAATACTTTTCATGTTATGCAAATGATATTAACACAGGAAATTGGTTAAATATTTTTGCTTTATTCTCAGCGGAGGAACAATGTGTTCTATCCAATCCTGGCCTGCCTTTTGCCTGTATTATTAATACAGTACTAATACCACTGCTGCTGCTGCTGCTGCTACTACTACTACTACTACTACTACTACTACTACTACTACCACCACCACCAATACTGCTAATAATAATAACATAATGATAGAGTGCCACTAAATGAAAAAATATTGAAATGCATAGAAAAATATTTTTAGCATTGATTTTGTTTTTGGAATATTAGTTTGAGAATGATACTAATTTTACCATAAATTTCAGTTCATCTGATAAAATTAAATGAAACCTATCAGGGCATGGGTGCCACCAGAATTACTACTTCCAAGGGGAGTTTTTGCTGTTAATAGTTGGGAGACTTTCTTTTTTATTTTTATTTTTTTTTAAATTTGCGGGGGAAGGCAGATGCCTGTCCAGAGCAGCAATTTGGTGCTGGTTTTTGCCAGCACAGTCATTCTTGGTTTTGGGCCCCATTGGGGCCTATGACCATATTTGTATTCTTTCCAAGCCCATTTATTTGTTTTGAGTTGTGGCTGCCTCTTTGGCATTAGGAGAGGTTGGTCTATCTGTGACTACTGTGAGCAGAGCAGTAATTTGCTGCTGGTCTCTGCCAGTACAGTCATTCTTGGTTTCAGGACCCATAACCACATTTCTGTTCTTTCCAAAACATCTGTGTATTTTGAGCTCATAAATGTCAATCAGTTGATCAGGTAAATTAAAAAGAAATTAATGAACCCCCTAAAATTAAACCTAGATAACTCATAACCAATTCAGCCCCCTTAGCTGGTTCTCATCAGCATAGTCAGTCTTGGTTTGGGGTCTCATCGGAACCTATGATCATATTTTTGCTCTTTCCAAGACTTGTCCAATTGTACTTGTGTAACAGTTTATGGATCTAAATAAATTATGAATTATGAAAAAAATTGAGACCTCCTGTTCAACGAGAGGAGGGGGCCTAAGTACTACTGGCCACTCCCCTCTACTGGGAGCTACTGGAGCAGGCACTCACTAAGTGGCCCGCTCCTCCACACACGCACGTGCACACACACACACACACACACACGCACACACGGACGACACAGAAAACATCGCTCCCAGCAGATCCTCTATTGTTGCGTGTGTTTACCGATTTGTTTCCTAGAGATGGCCGTCTTTCCTGTGTTCACTATTCCAGCATTTAGATGTAATATCACAGTATTGTAGCCAATTACGACAACCCCTAAAGTGAAACTACTGTATATGTGTGTTTAGAACCGAGAAGAAATACCTACACTTGTTATAATGTTTCGCGAAAGAACAAGACTCGAGTATACGGAGGAAAGTAATTTACGCAGTAAAGAAATGGCGTTATGCGAAATCTACTTCGAAACTGGATCGGCGTATGAGTGTGTAGCAGAACTCGGAGAATTAAGTGCTGTCCAGTTTAAAGACGTAAGTGCATCGCTTGTCAGCAGTATACGGGCAGAGTTAATGGATATGTGTACGCGGTTGAAAAGTGAATTCGGCTATGTATGTTTACACAAGGAAATATAAAATTATTCCTGGGCTTAATTGACCAAGCACCACGCATGAGGACGTATGAGGGAGTGGAGGTACAGCTCTAACGTTCCCTAAAATTGGGTACTAAAAATTATAACGGGGATGATGCCTCGTATTGTAATCGCTGATGTTATAATTCGTATAACGTTACCACTTCATCAGGTCCCGATCAGACATGTAGTAATATATTGACAAATTAATGGCATCACGGAAAAGGCAGTCCCCGTTAAAGGAATTTGTATAATTCTTGGTTTTAATATTTTCTTCGTTCGTTTTTAATCTTATATATGGAGTTCCAGAAACGTCGTGACAGTTTAATTTTTATTGATGACTTTTTCGAAGAATTAGTGGAGAGTCGGTTTCAAGTATTTAAAAGATATCTTTCGGTTCACATTTCCGCCCTGCATTTATAAACAACGGCTCACAACAGCATTTTTTCATTAGTTCCTGTTATCATTTAAGCTGTGTTTCGAAGTGTTCACAGTAAGCAGCTTATAACCTGACAAAGAGCGAAAGTCATTCTGCTAGAAGCTTTTGTATTTTACTTGGGGCATCCAGAGAGCTATATGATGTACGGAATATTTGATGTTAAGTAGAGGTTATGTGCAATTGTTTTTCACAAATAGTAACTACAGATGGAGAGACATTGTATTCCAGGATTTCCAGAAATAGGCCCTGTGTACTACAGGCGTTGAATAAGACTGATTTGAAACATTTGTTGGTGAATGTATGAATGTACAAAATTTTATTGAAATATCATAATTAAATTAATTAAAGTACTGGTATAGAGCACAGCATGCATGTTTTCTTCTTTATGAATGGTCAGTGGTTTAGTCCTTCATTTACAGTTGATGTTGTACCTTACACATTCTAAATAACGGAGCTTACACTGGCAGTTTTTATCTGGGAGACAGTAGCTGCGCAACTGGCATGTCCTGTGTTGGAAGCCGTGCACAGCAAGACATGACACAGTGTGTCTGGAGGTTGCAGTTTGACTTTGTCCAGTCTCTCCTTGTTATAGCTTCAGTGGCATAGAAGTCACATTATATCCCTTTCTCCTTCTTCCATCTTTGTATTATTAATTTGTCTGCTGCGTTGTTGTATGTGGGCTGTAGCTTGTCTTCCATCAGGAGATTTACTCTTTCCAGCACATATATTAGTCACAAAAGTGTACACCTTGAAAATTGTAGGCCTGTCTCTAGCTGTGTCACTTTTACACTTTCTAACACCTTTAGGCTATTTTCTCCAAGATGTTTTGATAGCACTTCCAGTCCATACTTTAAAATGGTCACTATTTTTAAACCTAAGAGTTGCATAGCTGTTTCCAGTGTTAACTTACCCAAGCTCAGACTCCCTGCTATTACCTATATTGTGGACATCGTTTTCTCCTTAATGTGCATAGTGAATATTTTCCCAGATAATACTGATTTCTTCTGTCAGAAAAGACATGATGAAATGAATTTGAAATTAGTTTGATTTGTTGAAAGATCTTTAATGTTTTTTATGTTATTGTTAGTCTACTTAATTTTTGAGTGAGAGTCTTTATATGGAAAAGTTTTCTCAATCAATTATGTAACTAATTTTAATTTTATTTCAGGTGAATGATTTTGGGCGCAAGTATGTCAATGAGATCCTTGACTGCTGTGACATGGAACAAAAGCTGAAGTTCATTGAGAAAGAAATACTGAAAAATGACATTCCAATTCTTGAACCATCTTATATACCAGATGCCCCAAATCCATTAGATACAAACGATCTCAAAGTAAGTTCAAAACGTGTATATATATATATATACAGTGCGTACAATCAAGTGCGCNCTAGGGAGGATGTCATTGCAATCAGTGATAAACTGAAATTCCCAATGCAGGACTCCTGTTTGTTACAGCCTAACTGATTCCAGAGAAAGCCATCTCTTGTTAGAGTATATACAAACATAATCTAAAATGCAATTATGTGGAAGAAGCAGTAAAGTTTAGTTTTTTTATAATAAGGAGTATGCGATCCATGCATATTTAGGCTGTAACATCATTGTTACTCAAAAACAACTGACAGGCATGGCATCATTAAGAAAATGTCAGGTAAAATGCATCTGTAATTGATTCTACATATTGCAGTAATAAAGCAGTTGTATGCTTGTGGATGCCAGCCATACCAGTGAAGCTCTTAACAGTCTTAACAGACAAATTACAATAAGTGTAGACCCCGTTCTACATAGGCCAACTGCAAAGGTACATTTTCCACTGAGCTTTCAAATTTTGTCTAATATATTCATGTTTATTTCTAACATAGTGTTTTTTTTTCTAGTATGATCTGATACTGAGGTGACTAATGCCTTCAGACAAACATATTTGCCACATATGATTGCTTTATTTTGTTGCCAAATACACTTGAAATTAAGAGGCATGATATGCAGTAGAATTTCCCCAAATTTGGCCCATTGATGTGAATGGTGAACTGAAAAAAAATCAGTATAGGAATCCCACATGATACAGGCTATATGATTCAATGGGAAGCCATTTCTTATTAGAAACAGAACACTGCCCACTCATTTGTGATATACGAGGTGCTATCGAAAAGTTACCAGATTGTTGTTGTTGTAGCTGCCTCAGTGAAAGAGGATGAGAGGGGAGGTCAAGGTCACACTTCTACAAGCCTATGGCCTAAGTCTGCCACATGACATTACACTGTGATCACACATTGTTTTTACACGAGTACTTTTTGGACTCATGTTTCGTTTTGTCTGTGATGGATGGCAAAACCAAGTAATGTGTTTGCATCATGTTTTGAGTGAAGCTCAGTAAATCCACTACCTGTAGCCTTGAAATGCTTTGTGAGGCTTTTGGAGAACATTCCTTAAGGTGAACAGTGGTTTTTGGATGGCATTCACATTTCAATGTGGGTTGAGTGTCAGTTGAAATTGACCAACGTTCAGGGTGACCAAGCACCAGCAAAATGACAGAAAATGTTAAAAATATTTGAGAACTCATCCATGAAGACCATTACAAACATTCCATGAGCTTGCAGACACTGTTGGGATCAGTTATGGAGTTTGGTAGGAGATCTCAACAGAAAATTTGAACATTCGCCACATTGCTGCGAAGTTTGTTCCTCGACTCTTGGCAAATGCTCAAAAGCAGCAGCACGTAAATGTGTGTCTTGAACTATGAGAGAAGGTTAACAAAGACCCAACTTTTATCTCTAGGATCATAATGGCTGATGAAAGTTGGATTTACGGTTATGATCCAGAAACAAAGCAATGATCATCACATTGGAAGAGCCCACAACCACCAAGAGCAAAAAGGTGTGGCAAGTCTGGATTTCAAGAAAGAGCATGCTCATTTTTTTTGACATGAAAGGAATTGTTCACTCTGAATTTGTTGTGCCTAACACTATGGTCAACTCTGACTTTTACTGTGATGTTTGAGACACTTGAGAGAAAATGTGCGACAAAAATAATGGAACTTTGGTGCAACCACAACTGGCTCCTTCATCACAACAGTGTGCCTGCCAGCATCCCTCAAAACCAAAGAGTTTGTGACTAACAACATGGTTATCATTCCCCTTCCTCCCTGCTCACTGGACTTAGCCCCTTGTGATTTTGTTTTGTTTCCCAAATTGAAAATGAAACTGAAGGGACGACGTTTTGAAACAGAGTCTGACATCCAAAGGCAATCACAAGCGGTTCTTGACAGCATTAAGGAAAATGATTTCCACGGTGCTTTTTAAGTGTGGAAAAATAACGATGGGATCGCTGTATATGTTCCCAAGGAGACTATTTCAAAGGAAATGGCAGCCAAAATTGAGTAAGTTAAGCTAACATTTCTCTTGTTACCTAGTCCGGGAACTTTCTGATAGCACTTCCTACTATATATAACGTACATTCGTGAAATGCTTAACAGTTCATTGCTGTGGTAACCTGATTTTGTGTAATTTCAGAGTTTTGGTTCACTGTTACAAAATATTTATAGAAAAGCGAGTGTAAACAGGGCAGTTTTTGCCATGTTGAGTGGGTCCTGTGGTCATTAGAGTGTTGCAGATCTCCTGGTTGCACATGGACAAGATGGCCAACAGACAGTGTAACTAACTTCCTCAGCAACCTGAGGGACTGCCATGCCATAGTGACATCTGGCATATGTAAATGTCACCACTGGCCTTATTGCTATAGGACTGTAGCCCCCAAACTCTTAGAACTGTTCATCTCTTCGCTGCTGACACAGTAGGGTGTATGTTTTATAAATGAAAACTTTTATCATGAATAAGCCCCCTGAATGAGGGCTGAAATATTTATAGTACAAATATTGTGCGGAAGCCCATCATTCAAAGGTTGGCAGACATGGAGATAAACTTGTAGGTTACCATTTGCTTCATATTCTGGTCATCTTTCCTCAGGAGGGTAGAGCCCCCTGCCCATACATATGTGGCTGTAGGTGTTTCTCGGAGTTATTCTGGATGTTGCGATGAAGAAAAGACTACCAAGGCCTTTCAGGGAGTCAAACCCTACTTGCCTTGTTCATGGATTGTCATTTTTATGAGTTGAGTGGAGCTGGAGTTGATGTAGCTTGAAAAAGTCAAATCCGAAACGCCTCAACTCTTTGTATTGATGTTCTATTTTAACATTTCTGTCGGTCTTAAATCAGGAGCTGGGATAGCTCAGTCAGTCTAGTGACCAGGCTACAGCCTGGATGGCCAAGGAATCCGAGTTTGCTTCCCTGTGGGGTTAAGAGAATTTTCTTCCCTTCTCAGCTTCTAGATCAGCCTTGGAGCTGACCCAGCCCCCTTTCTGATGAATGGCAAGGACCCTTTCTACAAGGAAAGACAACCAGAGTGAGCGGACCCACTCTCCTCCCTCTCGTCCTGAGGTTAAGCGTGTGCGGACCTCCTCTTCCCATCTGTCTTCATGATGTGGTCCTCACTTAAGCACAGGAAAACTTTACTGTAACCTTCATCTCTACGTGTAGATTTAATTCTTTCTTTGTTTGTCCAGGTAATAATTGAGGGACTCGAGACTGAGCTGGAAAATGCAGTAAGAAGCTACAACAACATCAGGCACATGTACCTCTACTTGGAACAGAAGAGAATTGTGATACTTACTACCAACAAGTATTTTGAACTGGTATGTGTGAAGATTTAAATACTTGGACTTAAAATAAATTATTGTAATTTGAAAATTGTCATTTAGTCTGCTAGAAGATCTTACTTTGAAAGTTATAGTGATATACATTTTAGACATTATGTGTGTATGTATATATTAACATCTATTGTAATAGTAGTTTCCGAAAAAGTGTTGATGCCCTCTGAGGATGATCCATAGGGATTGAAACATGTAAGGCTGATGAGTCTTCAAATGATAAAACTTAAATAGTCACATTGGACGGTGTTATTTTTATCTTTGTGATATACACAGCAATGATATGGTTAGAAATGTATGCAATAAGACGACGTTTTCATTGCCGAGACAGTCTACATTTGCCATAACATTTAACATGATAGAAACAAGCATGAGACGGTGGCGCCAAATCTACTAAAGAATTCAGTGGGTTATTTATGCAGACATAATCTTCCTGCATTATAAATTCGTTGCCAGGAAACAGATAGCGAAGACTAGTGGAAAGAGACTGAGAAGATTAGTGTGGAAATCAGTAACAGTGTTATAATTAATTGTAGTTACAACCTGTAAGTGGTCAGTAAATCCAATTACCAGTCTGAACCCCATCTTTAGTCTCTGTGACATATGACAATATTTTCAAAGTGAAGTAGTGATAGAATAATTTTTGCCTCATCTGTTTTGTGTAAATGTGAAATTTGTAGTTTTGGCAAATTATGTTTCCACATGAGTTTTGAGGTTCTCATAAACATCTGCCCTGATGATGGAGGTGGCAGGTTCATCGGAAACAGTAGTAATGATCTACCGGACTGTGTATCATCACATTCCAGAAACCTGTAGTCTTCATGATCTGTCTGTATCTGAAAATGTGTTGCATTTCTGTTGCAGTCAGATCAGATGCGCTTTCAACCACCTCCCGCTGAAGATGAGCATGCTCCGCTGCTTGAAGGGGCTGAGAACATTCCCATGTACTCCTGTGATGACAGCATAAAATTCTGGTAATGAAAAAATTAGCCTTTCTAGGCGCTATGTCTGACCTAACTTAACCCATTCACTGCAATACCCCCATGCTGGGATTTACCTGTGGAGCCAGCCATTTTTCTGTGAAGCAGATTCTTGGATAATGACATTACCATTTCTTTTCCAATTAGTATTCATTAATTATTCTACCATTTGATGTTACAGGGTCTGAGCTACTGGTGTTGTATTTAAATAAACCACAAATAAATAAACTCTCATCAAAAATAGCAGGCCACATATGAGAATTGCAAACCTGATGATGAATTAGTGACTTTTAGAACTCAGTACCTTCATCTTCAATATCAAAGCGGAGAGACTGCAGGTTCCTTCAGAATGTTGGTACCTGCCCCCAGAGGCAGTAATTCTACCTTTTTAAGCCCACAGAACATCAGAATAATATTTACAATTCTGTTCCTTTTTCATTGAAAAAGGCCCCATTCCCATTTGTACAGACCAACTACTTAAGGCAATTGTGTTCACTATGGGCAAAATGCAGTGTTTTTTAATGTTAAAATAAGTGGTACATATAGTTACCACTGTGCTTTAAAGTATCAATACTCATCACCATTAAAATATCAAATTTTATAGAAATAAACTGATAGACCATCATGCTTTTAACAAAATGTACCTTGTGCCTCCAGAAGTTCATATGTTTCAGAGGAATTTGGGTGCATGGCTACAGCTATAAAGGAAATAGCCGAATGGGTAAATCTGATTTTGGCCAAAAATGTAATGTGTTGCAGTTCTGTTGCTGGGGTGATCCTGCAGGCAAAAGTGCCAGCATTTGAGAAGATGCTATGGCGCGTGTTTTGCAGGAATGTATTTGTACATGTGAAGCCACTAGAAATACCATTTGAAGATGCAGAATATGTAAGTTGCTGTGTGTGTTGTTAAAATTGATCTCCAAGAAACAGAACATGAGTGTATGGACCGGATTAATGTGGCTTAGGATAGGGTCCAGTTGTTCAGTGGCACTCTCGTGTGAACATGATAATAAACCTTTGGACCCTATAAAATATGAGTTACTGCTTGGCCAGTTGCATTAGTCTCATCCTCTGTGTATAATTAGAGTTAAGCTCTCAATTTGAAATACAGATAAATTGATTTCATATTTAACATGAGCATAATTAATTAACAGTCTTGTCGCTATTCAGAGGAGATCCTGGCACTTTTAATGGTGTTAAGAACTTTTGAAAATGTGGCAGAATGCATTAACTACCTGTTGGAAGTAACAGCAGAATATAATCTAAGTATCCTCTGTTATTAAATTATTAATGTATGCTTGTGTTTCACATGCAGAATACTCCTGTGCAGAAGGCAGTGTTCATCATATTTTTCCAAGGTGAATCACTGAAGAATAAAATTTACATTATCTGTGAAGGCTTCAAAGCGACCATATATGACAGTCCAGATAACATGTCCGAACGAGGGGAAATGCTTTCTACCATTAAGACAGATATGCAGGATCTGCAGATAGTATGTATTACCATATTTATTGATATATGTTATTTACCTGTGTAATGTCCTTGTCACATAACATTGCTCTCCTGCTTTCGTTGCTGTGTGATGTTCTGCCATAATTTTACAGTAGTGCACTGTTGCTATGTAGAGTACTGGCAGTTTCGAGAGACAGTCTTCCTGAGTCTGGAGACAGCCTGCTTCTCTGGAACACTGGTGCCCACCTTCCAGACTGCACAGTGTCACAACTTATATGAGCATAACTGAGTTAGATGCCTGCGGTAGTTAACATTTTCCTCAAATTTGCATGCACTAGTATCATGTGGGTTATCTCATGATGTTTTCAATATTGAGACTATGTAGCATCAGATGAATGGGAAGAGATCTGGAAGGATGTGGTCATACTCCGATCAAGGTATTATCCTGGCTGTCTTTCCTGGAGGGACTCAGGATAAACCATGAAAATGGCCGCGCCATAGCTCAAGCGGTTAGTCACTGGTTTCCCACCGTGGTGGTCCGGGTTCGATCCAAGGTCTGGTCACGTGGGATTTGTGATGGACAAAGTGGCGCAGGTGCAGGTTTTCTCTGAGTACTTCGGTTTCCCCTGCCAATCTTCATTCCAGCAATTGCTGCACAATCACCCTCACCTATCATTTGGGGCTGGTACAATAGGCCAGAAGTGGCCGCAGTACAAGGGACTTAGTCCCACCCCACTAGCAATAAGAAAAACATGAAAATTCTCAGTCAGGATGGACAGTGGCCTTGCCAAGAATTTATCCAGGCACAGCATGAGTGCAGGTCTGAAGTGGTACCTTATGATCAACATGTCTGGTTGCACATTCTTACTTCAGTTACCTTTCCATCTTTATAGCTGAGTTTCTTAATAATTGTCATGTCATTAGGTGTTGGGAGGAACATCTGATTTCCATCATCGTCTGTTGCTAGTGGGTGCAAAGAACTTGAGGATGTGGAACATGAAGGTGCTGAAAGCAAAGAGCATATACTGTACGCTGAACATGTTCCGAGTCATGTCCGCCTCTCTGATTGCACAGTGCTGGATTCCTGTCTGCAAGATGGAGTTGGTCACCTCGGCTCTTGTTAGAGGAACTGTAAGTGTGTCATTCTGTTGTTGTGTTTATTGGCTTCTCACCTTTATATGTCACTTTCCACATTTTTAGAGAGCCCAGTAGTTGTTGGTGTGACACTCGGCTCTCATTCAGAGGATTCTGAGTTTGATCCCCAGTCAGATCACTGTTCAGATTGTCCTGCTCACACATTGAAACCTTATTTTGGAATGTGAAGTATGTGAAAGCCCCCCCCCCCCCCAACTTTGGATATAAAATTTTGTAGGCTTCTTTCCCAAAATCAGGATGAAGTCTCATGCACTTGGAACCAAGAGTATCATAATGCTGCAGTAACAAGGATTCTCTTTGCACAGATTTCATAAAATGGATGTGTGATATGGAGATCCTGTCTGCTCTGCTTTCATGTTTCCTTTGTGGGATTGCTTCTGGATATTGACAGAATTTGATGCAAGGGGGCCAAAACAGTGCACTGTACAAACAGTTAATACTCACGTTAAATGGGAACTGGGATAGCTCAGTTAGTCTAATGACTGGGCTGTCGACTGGAAGAAGAAGGACTTTGGGCTTGACTCCCAGGAGGGGCAAGAGATTTTTCTCTTCCCCATGACCAGCTCTGGGCACATGCAGCCTGGATACCGGGGCTCTCCGCTAGTGTAAACCAGCTGGGATAATGCAGACGGATCTCCTCCATCTGGTGCTGAGATTGAGAAATCTCTACGCCCCTCTCTACTTGCGTTGCATGTTGCTTATTTAAGCACCAGGACAACTCATGTTAGCAACATTTTCTGATGTACTGCTTCCCCCAGTGGTTTGAATCTCTGCCAGAACATGGGCTATCCTGACTAAGGGTTTTCATCATTTTCCTCAGTCCCTCCAGATAAGTACCAGGATAAGTGCCATTTGGGAAACCTTTGTGATTCATCATTCATGTGTCATCCTTCCATTTGCTGTAGCCTGGCTACTGACAACACTGTTAAATGGTATGGTGCATCTGTATTTGAAAAAATAGAAATAATTTATGGTTGTGATGACTAGTGTCATTAGGGTCACAGTAATATGTTTTTACGTATAACAAATAAATACCAAGGTCAATAAAATGTTTAAGAATCATGAGGGTTGAATTTGCAAATGTGTGTCCTACAAAGTGTGATACATGTGCACTAATTTTCTTTGTCCCTGTGCGGTTGTGTCTGGCAGGAGAGGAGTGGGGGCAGTATGCCTCCTGTGATCACCAGGCTCAACACTTGCGAAACGCCTCCAACATACAACAGTGTGAACAAGTACACAGAAGTTTTTCAGGCTCTTGTTGATTCCTATGGGTTTGCAAGATATGGTGAGATTAATCCAGGTCAGTCTTTTTTTATCACAGAAATCTTGTCATAAAGAAACAGGTTCTGTGACATTTGAAACTTTCATAGCTTGTGGTGTTCTAGTTTATGTAGTCTGGTATGTGGGTGCCAAATTCTGGTGGGCTGTGCTACCTTCATCTCCAGCAGGTCCCCCTGAAATTTTGGTAATCATGCACGAGAAGACTGTATGATGTCATAACCCAGAAGAACACAGTATAAAACAGCCCTTATAACTTATCTGTAGGACCTTCATTGTAAACTGTTACTGTATGGGACATTTGATTTCCTTGCACCTATCAACAGCCAGTGAAATTTTCCGTTTAAATGTTCAGTTCTGCAGTGGTGTTCGAAATGTGGTATGACTGTTTGGACAAAGTGGTTGGGCTTATCTTGGAAGTGATATTATATTTCAGCATCCTGTACCTTTTATAGCCATTTTCTTTTTCCATCTGTAATGCAATAAATTATATAATATTAATTCACATTTAATTCATACAGTGATCGTTAAATGTATAAAATGTTATTAAAATGTTGAAATATATATACATACATATGTTGTTATGCCGCTACATGTTTTGGCCTTATAAGGCCATCTTCAGGCAACGCTTATCTAAGGATTCTGATTCACTGTAGGCTAAACAAATGGTATTCTTAACATATGTCATTGATGTTCCTTCATTTCTTTCTGAATTGTGGCTGGTTCTGTGTCATATTAGATGTGTTGTGTTTATGTTGTGCTTATCAGGCATTGCTGTGTGTTCCTTGCATCGTATAGAAACAGCTGCAATTCAAAAAGATCAAAAAGCTATGAAGGAACATCAATGGCATATCTTGGGAATACAATTTGATTAGCATACACTGAATTAGAATCCGTAAACAAGTGTTGTCTGAAGATGGCCTTATAAGGCTGAAACATGTAACAGGATAAAAACAAAATAGTTTAATAACATTTTATACATTTAACGATCATTGTACGAATTTGTGGGAACATCCCACATTATCACGCATTTCTGCAACGCTCGCTCTTCACATCACTTTTCACCATCACGCGCGCTAACCAATCAGATTGCTTCAAACGATCGCATTTATACTACGCTCGGCGCTAGCCCGCGTCTACACCATTACGCGCGCTAGCCAATCAATTCTTCCTCCTCACTTTCGAGTTTCACTCCGCCCCACCGAGCAGTGTATAAAAAGGAGCAGCTTCGAACCGCTATCATCAGTCCCACGCAGTTCATCATCAGCCTACGAGCTAGCCACATCAAGCAACATCAGTCAGCAGGCTTCGTCACCAGCGCTCGGTCTTCGGAGGCATCGGCAGGCTGCGCCAGGCACGACTGCCTCGGCCCTCCAGCGCTCTCACACCCGACTCACTGGGGCACCGCGCCTGGACTCGCCGGTGGTCGTGTTACGGTCCGACTCACTGGGCATCTGGCGTAGCCACTGCCTCATGGCTCCTACGACCGCGCTCAACGACTAGCCTTTTCACCAGCCTTTCTCCTTACCGGTGCGCGCCGCGCTACCTCACCGGTCAAACGTCTCATCAGCCACGGTCCTTTTCAGGGCCAACAAACTGTTCCGAAGAAGTGGGTTGTCAACGGAGTAATGACAAGACTACACATCGACAAGAGCCCCACAAATTAAATGTGAATTAATGTTATATCATTTGTGGCATTATAGGCGGGAAAAGAGAAGTACTTGGAAATGATGTTTGTTTGCAACAGGTTAACTCTTTCACTGGGTATGACAGAATGTTCTGTCATGGTCCAACCATAACACAGTGTATATGACATGCCATTATGTACTCAGTCATGTATATATATCTTCTGGGCATGACAAGCTTACAACTCTTACTGTTGTCTCGATGGCAGCACTGCAGACGACACAGAGCATAGTGCCTGCCATCTGTCCAGTTTCCCTGCATTGCATGTGTCAGGTGACAGTTGAGATGCTGAGTAGTTTGAAGTGTAAGCATATAAATAAGCGTGTTTCTCTTTAACTTTAATAGATCAAAATCTCAATAATATGATGCTCACACAATATATATAAGTTTACAATAGAATCATATTTATTTTTAAATGTAGATTTTGCATTGTAAAGTATTTAGAGATACATGGCAGAAAAGGAACTTGCTAGGAGAGAGTACATCACAGCAGATAAAACTCCCCAGGTAAGCGATTAAAAGGTGAATTGTGACTTTCTGTTTTGTTCCAGCTCCATTTTCAATTGTTACATTTCCCTTCTTGTTTGCTGTGATGTTCGGAGATGTCGGCCATGGACTGCTCATGCTGTTTGCTGGCATCTGCTTCCAAATGACCGAAGAACGGGTGCAGTGGGTGAAGATGGGTGAGGTATGATCTTCTTACACTCATATAAGTAATGGAATATCGTATGATTTAAACTGCTTGCACACTTGTAATTAGAGATAAGGACACACAGTAGCAATATCAAATAAATCATTCAACAAGGAAGGAAATGTATATATAGCATAACAGTTCTGGTGCATTTGCTCCCTTATGTTTAATTATCTCTTAAACTGTAAGACGTTTGGAAAAAGTATATTGGGGATATGATATGTTCCATTTTTCTCTGTACCTTTTTTTCCCAAATTTCTTCTGCTGCCGTGAGTATAATGGTATGTTACATTGGAGATGTGAGCATTAAAGCATGTAATTCTTTATGCAAAATTTCCATTGGGTTTGCCTAATTGAAGCAAAAATTGAAATGGGTTCATACATTTTAGTTGAGCTCACCAGTGTCAAATTCCATGGAAATCTTGAGTTGTGTGATGCATGCAGGCAGATGGAGAGTCAGCACAATTTTGGTTGGTACTGTGCTGGACTCCAAACACACCTAAAAATGTTTTAGAATTGAAATACCATAAGAATAAGATAAAGCACTTGTTAGGATTATCATTAGTATAGTGATGGGCTATGCACTGGACAGCCAAGGGGTCGGAGTTTGAGTCTCGGTAAGGGCAAGATTTGTCTCCACTCCACACCCTCCTGGGCTCTCCCATTGTGGAGTAAAGTGACCATGGCATGAAGCTGAAGAATATATGGACCTGTACATCCACTCCCCCAAATGCCTTCATGGTATAGTTGTTCTTAATTAGTTAAGCACAGGGACAACTTTAGGTTTTTAACCTTTTAAGGTTATCGTTAATAGCAGATGTATTAAGACTATGCATTGGGTGATGGATCACTAGCTTTTCACTATGGAGGCCCAGGTTCAGCTCTGGGGTAGTCCATGTGTGATTTGTAGCATATTGAGTGGCTCTTTGAAATTGAGTGCTGGAAGATTGAGACTGGAGAAGGTCACTGAGCTGTATTGTCAGGAAGGAATTTTAGTAACATGAATTTAGTTAGACAGACTCAGTATTCAGTGAAAAAGTGGGATTTTGTGGTGATTGTACCGAACATTTGCTTCCAGTACTGGTGGGGTAGTTAGTTACAAGTTGTACTGTGTGATGGATTGAACTTATGCACCATATATGGCATATCTATTGTCAATTGCATCACCTGACTTGTTGACATTCGCTGTATGCCAGTGTCAGTACTGTCAAGTGATGGGCTGCTGTCACTGTGTACATAAATGTAATTTCCTCATGTCACTTAGGTATGGAGAAACTTTAAGTACAGCCTGTCAAAATGCAAAATGGTTTAAACATACAGCAGTTGTTGATTGTATTCTACTTGTTCTCTTCCTCCTCTGTTTTGAATAGAGTAAGTTGAAAACTAGTTTTCATGGAAGAGTGGCTGACCCAGCAGGTGAAATTGTAGAACTGGAGCATGGCAATACATGTTAATCTGTACGTGTTTTAACATTTGCAGGTCATGAAACTACTTTTTCATGGACGTTACTTGATCATTCTGATGGGTCTGTTCTCCGTATACACTGGCCTTCTGTATAATGAATGCTTCTCTGTTCCACTCAACGTTTTTGGCTCTCAGTGGACAATAAACTACACAGATCACAGTGTACTGGACAACAAATTTCTGCAGCTGAACCCTGAAACTAATTTCTCAGCATCACCATATCCATTTGGGTTTGACCCAGTCTGGAAGGTCAGTTTTCCTTCACCAAATTTTGAGGTTCTCTTAATAGTTTCATGTGTACAGAAGGCACAACTACCAGCAGCTTGGGCTGCATAAATTAGCATTCTCCCACTGGCTTCAACACTCAGTTCAACTGTGTGAGAATGAAGGTTATCACAGCAGTGACGATGGAAATTACTGTCTTCTGGGGTGAGGTGCCATGAATGTTTCAGAGGAACCTGTTGCCTCCATAGTATGTGCTGCAGGTGGAGGCAGAAACTTCCACCAAAACGCTGGTAACCACCTGTAAGGCTACACAGTATTAACTAGGCCAAGTACTAAGCTGAAGAGGTTAGACCTGGTTAAATGTTTTGCACTATGACAGCTGGTTCATATTTGACCTGGCAATCACTAGAAGCCATTTTGTGCTTACTGACTGGGAGTGAAAGTGCTGTCTTTTCACTTCGAGCACTGACATCTGCTAGAAAGATTTTGTGCACAGAAATGGGACAGTTATTCAGAATACATTGCTCATGAGACTGACAAATGTTTGTGCCTGTGGGAGAGACTACTTACTGGGTCACAGTTGCTCTTCAGTGTGCAATGCCGCTTGTATGTCTGGTTGCCTGAGCACTGGGTGACCTAGCTTCACTTCTGGGGGAAAATAAGATACTGCACTTTCATGATTCTCCTGTATCATGTTACATACTCTCCACACACTTCCATATGTGTACCTCACTTGCAAGAGTGCGTTTTGTTCTAAGTCACATTTAAACTGTGGTTTATTCCCTGACCTCAAACCCAATTTCCTAAAAATTGGTGTTGATGGACATAATACACTTGAGTAGTCAGATGATGTCCTGTTTTTTAGGCGCTATACCATCTATGATGTGTTCTGTTAGTACTTCTCTGAATGTCAGCTGATTTGGGGCCGTTTCTCTACAGAAAATTGATGACACATCACTGCTCCACCTTTTTGTTAACTTGCACAAATGTCATCATGCAGTATGGCCCAGTGCACATGTGCATGAATGATTAATGTATGGAGGATGATCATATGAAGTGTGACTACAAAAACAGCATTAGTTCACATCATTCCTTATGGGAAACTAAGAAAATTCTTGGTCAGATGTTAACAATGCCAGTGTTAACCACTTATAATTCTTGCTTCTTCTTTTCCGGCCTGTGACCTTGAACATTTTTTTTCAGGCCAGTAAAAATGGACTTTCTGTTATTAACTCTTACAAGATGAAGTCATCAGTGATATTAGGAGTTGCCCACATGTTGTTTGGGATCTTTCTCAGCTTTTGGAATTTTAGGTGAGTGGAAATGTAAGATGGACAAGCAGATGGTATACTGAAATCCACTTTTTCATGATCAGGGAATTTGAAAATATGTAAATATGTTAAAATCTATAGAGATCAGTTTTTCACCATCACAGTATTTGCTTGTATGAGTATATACTGTATATATGAGACAGTAACAATAATTTATAACATTCATTCATTTCCTTTATTTTCCATATATCCATACAGGTATGAAACCTAGGATGTGGAAATGGTCCGTTTGAAAATAGATATATCAAGATACATGTACAAAATTACATGAGTCACATAAACGAAATCACTTACATTAATCAGTTAGCATAAATAATAATATAAAGTAAAATATTTAATAAGATAATTTAAAAATAATTTGCTATAAAACTTGCATTAATACAATTTTATTTAAATTACCTATATTAACTGAATTAAGTACATTACAAATTTACAAACTTATGACCAATTATGTTGATAATATTCATTCATAGAATGAATAGCAGCACAACTCAGTGCATGTTGTTATTCTGTGAAGTTTAATTTCTTAGTGTAAATGTAATTCTCTTTTCAGAACTTTTCCAATCATTGAGGTTAGGTCTATTTGATCTACGTTTTTACAAGTAGAAATTGTTGCACATACACAGACATTGATTTTCTTAGATTTTATGTTCCAAATTGAGTAATTATATTGATAACCATGACAGTTTCCTTTTCTACTTTTGGTGTGCTTGAAGTTAATAGAACAAAGATGTACCAGGTATCTGTAATTGTTTCCATTCTGTATAAGATGAATTTGTTGGTTTCACAGGCACTATGCAGATCTTGAAGGAATCCGTGGACAGTTCATCCCACGTCTGTTCTTCATGGCATCAATATTTTTGTACTTGGTGTTCCTCATTTTTCTGAAGTGGGCACTGTATGGGCCACATAAATGTGAGTGTTTTTGTTTCTACATAAAATGTGCTTTAAATATTTCACTGTCTGTGAGATTGGAGCTAGGATAGCTCAGTCTATATAGGGATTTCTCGTGGGCAGGACAACTGAGGAATCGCTGTTCATTTCCTAGCAGATTTTCTCTTCTCCACAGTGTCCGGACTGACTTTGGGGCTCCCTGCAGTCTCCTAGCCAGAGGGTACTGGGGGCTCTTTTCTTGGGTGCAAAGCAGTTGTGGCATGGGTCTGACCACTCAGTGCTGAGGTTAATAGTGCTTGGAACTTTTCTACCATGTGTGTGCATGGCATGGAGCTTAGTTAAGCACAGAGGTAACTTTGTGCTTGCCTCTGTGAGATGTGAGGCTCATGGAGAAGAATATGAAGATCACCATCTTCTGGGATGTGACAGAATGTAGTCTTGTAGAAAAGTTTTGACATTTTGAAGGTACCTGTCACCTCCATCTTCAGGGTAGAAGTCAGTTCTGCTGAAACATCAGTACCTCTCTACCAAGAGGCTTCACAATTCCATATAGACCCTGAAGATAGAAGTCTCTACCAAGAATGATACACAGTGCCACAACCCAGGAGCACTCTTACCACTGTGAAAACTTACATCACTGCGTTTCTTTTCAGCTGAAAAAAGAAGCAGCCATTGTTCTCCATCAATCCTCATGACACTTATTAGGATGGTCCTGCTGCAGAGACTGCCGAGCCGGGAAGGTGATGAGTGTGACCCATACATGTTTCCCTACCAGGTGAGCCACTTTCATATAGAGTACCACTGTGTAATTTTAGAACTCCTGAATTATGTATGAAAGTTTTTCAAATTCTGGTTCAGGTAGCATTTAAACTGCCGAAAGTACTCTTTACTTGTTTGAGTTTTCTTTTAATAAACTGAAATAATTTGCTACAACTGTTCATCAGGAGCTTCATATCTTCAGCATGAACTTGTAGGATTATGTGAAGTTTGAGGTTGTGACAGCGGTATCAGTTTTTGTTAATGTTACAACACTGTCAGTATCTAGACTGTGTAATGTCAGTAGGATGACAGATTAATGATGATTTGGAAAGAATTTGGAAGGAATCTGTCATGATCCAATTGAGGTACTCTTGTAGCAGTTACCTGGAGAGACTGAGGAATACCATAGCAAACCTGTCAGGGTAGCCAGTGTCCTGCCTGAAGTGTGAACAGACCACCTCCTGAACACAAGTTTGGAATGCTCTCACTGTGCCATCTTGCTTACCTGTGGCGAAGTTGGACGCAGTGGGTTCCTCTCTAACATATAAAAATAATCACTTTGGTTGAACTGGTATTTGTTTGGTTTCCAGTATCACATACAGCTGTTGTTGTTGTCAGTGGCTGGGATCTGCATTCCTTGGATGATGTTCTACAAGCCGATGCGTATGTGCATCAAAAATGTAAGCAGTGAGAAGAGCAGGGAGCTGTACACTGACCGACCCACCAGCTAACTAACTGAGATTTCAGATTCCCATAGCAGTGACTATGAAGATTACTGTTTTCTTGGATGTGACACCATGTAGTCTGGTAGATAGGTACTGGTATTTTGGAGGAACCTGCTGCCTCCATATTTATGGACAAAATCATCTGATTCCTCCAAAACAATGGTAGTGTTGTACTGAGCCACATCCAGGAAGACAGAACTCTTCAGATAACTGATTCCGTAGAGTGGAATCCAGTGCATCAAGAAGCTTTCTGCCTTTTATATAACCTGGTAGCTCATTATCATGTTTACTAGAGACAACCACAGGACCCCGTCCTGAGCCAGATTAGTCGAGGCCATATCACACCCTGTTTATTGTCTGTGCATAGGCCTACAACTGGTCTAATGGATTATAAATACCATACAAATTGTTTCCTTGAGAATTTGTATTTTTCTTTGAATATGATGGTAATTTATTGGGAATATAAATCATTTTCTTTGTTTATTTCATCTTGTCCACTTTGTAGCAAAAATGGCACTGATCTTCCGTAACGGAGTTCAGCATACTATGTCCAATGGAAACAGACAGCTTCGTAAGCACTGAATGCTTGTATTTTGTCGGGAATAGCAAAACTGATGAGGGGCAGTGTTTTCTTTGTTTGATAAAGACGTGCAGATGTTAAAATACATTCAGGGAATTATTCTTTGTCAGTGAGCCACATCAGTAGGACGTTGGTATCCTACGTTCAGAAACTGTCTCATCTCCATTGTCAGGAGTTAATGATGAGCTGGAGACAGTCTCCAGAACGTGCTGATTCTGTGTGGAGATTTCACTGGGTGCAGTCTCTGAAACATTCAAGCAATAAATTAAACTATTCTTCAGTCTCTGCTACACTATGAACAACTGTTAAAATTATGGTTTCTTATATTTTAGTCTTTAAGGTTTTACACAGGATACAGGAATGCAAAGGATTCAGAACTGAATGGTGGCAAGTCATCACCTGAGTACTGGAGTGTTGTACTATGTCCTTTAACAACGATTTTCTGGAAACTCTGTTTGTAGTTAGCTAATTCAGATGTGACTCAGAACAAAACACATTCTGAAGTGTCACACCTGCCAGCAAGGTAAACTTATGGAACTGTGCAACACGCTATGGAGAATCCGGAAGGTGAATTTTCTCATTTTCACCCATAAGTGGAGGTAGAACAATCCAGTACTCAGGCAATGAACTATTCCCTGAATCAACTTGTCCGTAATTACTTCAGGAACATAATTTTGATATTTTTCTATGTGACACTTTATTTGCTCAACCTCCTCATTCTGCCAGCAGCCAAGTGCTGGGTCAGAGAAGAGGCCCCCAACTTATAGACTGAAGGTGTGACATTGTGCTGCCTGGCTGGGGCCACTGCACATCTTCGGGGGTGGCGATAGACAAGTATGGAACAATGATGGAATGACAATTAGCAGGGGAAAACTGAAAAAAAAATTTGGAGTGAAAGTTGCTCCATTGCTATTTGTTCCTCCATGAATCTCACATTATATAACCTGGGATTGAGCTCATCCCTCTGTTGCGAGAAGCCTGAGTTGTGTATGGCACAGCCACATTTATTTACGGAACATACAAATATATATACAGTAGAACTTGGTTATAACGTCATCAAAGGGACCTAAAAATAGTGTCGTTATAAACGAATGTCATTGTAACCGAAATGGGCACTTCCACAGTAGCCTTATGTTAGTCACGTAAAAATCTACCAAAAACCGAGTTAAAATGTTGCATTTTTTAGTGAAATACGTAGTTAAGTACAGACTAACGTAACATTAACATGGAATTGCCCAAATGTGTAATATCAAAGACATATTACAGCGCTTTTCACTGACAATACACACCGCACTAATACTGTATATTAAAGGTAGGCCTACTCACCAAATTACAGTAGATTACATCAATTGTTGTGCCTTACTGTACCTAGATACGAGTACAGTAATCAGTTATCTTCATCTGTTTCCTGTTACTTGCCCAATACACACTTTCTAAATTACGTTCAATGTCCATATCAGAGAAATTCAGGAATGAAAATGACGTTACATACGAGGTTGATGCATTTGTGCATGTCGTACTAAGCAAGGTGTAAAAACAGTTGCTTTATGAGGAATTAGTTCGTACCATTGAATATTTGACGCAATAGACAAGGTGTCGCAGAAACCGATGTTGCTATAACCAAGTTTTACTGTATATATATATATTTTTTTTTTTTACTGGGGATAAGGATAGCTCAGTCAGCATAGTGACTTGGCTACAGACTAGATAGTCAGGAATTTGGGGTTCAATTCCCAGCATGGGCAAAATACTTTTTTTTTTTTGTTGGTTGAGGCAATATGCTACAAGCTGGAAGGTTGTGGGTTCAATTCCCAATGAAGTCATTGGATTTTTCAATTCACCTAATCCTTTCAGCTGCCCTATTGCCCTGGGGTTGACTCAGCCTCTAGCAGAAATAAGTACCAGGGATCTTCCTGGTGATAAAGGAGTGGCCGGTGCTTAAGGTTGACACCCTCACCACCATCTGTGAGTTGATTGTCTGGAAAATGTGGGATCCTTGATGTCTCAGAACCCTATGGGCCTCCATGGCCTGTCACAGGGATAGCTTTACCCTACCTTACTGTATTTATGTTATAATGTTGTGAGAGGAACTATACTGCTTCAGTAATGATTTCATTTGGCAGAGAGCTGCTGCAGCAGGAGCCTTGAGCCCCAAGCAGGGCGATGGCACCGTCCTACAGCAGCATGACGAGTCTGGGATCACTACGCAGTCACCAGAACCTGCAGTAGCAGTAACAGAGACGCATGCACAGGCTGAAGAGCTCAGCTATGGCGAGATGTTCGTTCATGAAGGAGTGATGGCAACTGAGTTTGTTCTCGGCGCTGTCTCACACACTGCATCGTATCTCCGGCTTTGGGCCTTGTCACTGGCACATTCTCGTGAGTATAATGACTGATGCCCCCTAGTCTCACTTCCAGAATCTTGTTCTTCCTTCTCAAGAGTCAGGATAGCATGCCACTAGAGTCTGGGGTTTGATTCCTGACAGAAACAGAGAGCTTCCACTTATCCACAATGTCAGTACCAGATATGGGGTCCAGTTGGTAGCACAAATTCCTTATCTGGGGGCAGACAGGTCATGAAAGTGCCCCCATCTTTATGAGTTGCTGAGGTTAAGAGTATGTGGAGTAGTGCCTTCTTACATCTTTATAATGAGGCACTTAGTTAAGCATGAGGAGGACTTTACACTTTGCTTTATCGAGTTTAGAGCCTTAGTTTAAATGTAGCTGACTTTCCAGAACTTCTAAAGTTTGTACTGTGCATGTAAAGTGGGATCAAGACTTCAAAGTGTCCCTCGAGGGTTGTGTAAGCTGTAAGGGTGGTTCATAGGGCAGTAACTGCAGGGTGACCACATGCAGCTCTGTTGGGCTCTATGCTAGTAGCTGCTGTGATTGTGCGCAGTGAAGCCCCCTCAGATGATCAGCCATGTTAGTATGGAGTTGGTATGTTCAGTTGTGTGGACCCTGTCCATCTCTGTCATCAGGCGCTGATGGAGGCTGAGGAAGCCTGTGAAGCACTGGATACCAACTCCACGTTGACATGGCCGATTATCAGGAGTGTTGACATAGTGGTAATGCTCTAAACATTTATCTATAATTTGTTCCGTTTGAATTCCAACATGGACACTGGATGTCCTGACTGGTTTTTCATGGCTTTTCTCAGTCCCTCCAGGGAAATATTAGGATAATACCTCAATAAGGCTGTGGTCACTTCCTTCCAAACTCATCATTTGCCTGCCATTCTACCATTTGGCACTGTATAGTCTCTGTACTGGCAGCATTATTAAATAACTCCCCCCTCAAAGAAAGACAAGAAGGAAGGTAACACAGGTACGTGATTCACATCTTGTTGTGTTCACAGAGCTCTCGGATGTTCTGTGGGCCATGGTGTTCAGACCAGGAATTCGTGTTGCAGGGCCGCTTGGTCCTGTATGTACAGCCATATGTTTTGCCATGTGGGCCGTGTTCACCACTGTCATCTTGATCATGATAGAAGGTCTGTCTGCCTTCCTGCACACTCTGAGGCTGCACTGGTAAGATGGAACTTCTCGTTTCAGCAGGGATATTACCTGCACACTGGCACTGCCTTTCCTGTCACTCGTCATGTCAACATTCACCACATGCAAGCGAGAAATTTTTTTCTTGCTTGCTTCATGCTGCTGAACAAGTTGACCGAGCAGCGTAAATTGGGGGGGGGGGAGGTGCTCTGTACGACAGAATCATCATGATGCTGCAGGAGCTTATGTTCACACAGTGCACTGATAGAGCACTGCACACACTGGTTGCAGGCAGTACCAATTCTGTGAGAAGGTGGATCTACCCATAACCGTCCCTCTGTTGTCATTTGTCATCATTTAAAAAAAAATGCTTATTTAGAAGAGCCTCATCAAATCTCTGTTGTGTGTTTTTCAGTATTTGCGTTATGATGGGATTGTGAGTCTGCAGGGCTGTTATGTGTAATATCACAGAGTCAGTAGTTTGAACTGAGAAGTATAGCATGCCACATTAAATTGCACATTGTCAGCAGCAGTTTTGAGAAGTCAGATTTGATTCTCATGGCAGTTAATATTAGGATCACTGTCTTTGGGATGTGATACTATATATGTTGTTGGTAGCAAGGTGCATACATTTTGAGGGGATTTACTGCTTCTGTCAGTGGTGTCCTACGAACACAGCTCCTGTAGCCATGCTATCATTAGAAATAATGAACTCAGAAATGAGTGGGTGCTGTTTCACCTCTGTGGGCTCAGGAATATGTAAGCACTTAAAGGGCTGATCACAGTGGCTGTGCAACCTAAGGCATGAACTGTCTTTGTTCGTTTGAACTCTGGAATCATGGGTTTGAATCCCACTCAAGGCTTGGATGTCTGTATGTGTTTATTCTGTGTTTGTGTTGTCCTTTATAGGTAGCAGCCTTGCAACGGGCTGATCCCCCGTCCAAGGAGTCCTACTGACTGTCTCAGGATTAAGAAACTGAAGTGAAACAAAGCGTTTCACAGATTCCCTGTGCTCCAAGTGGGAGCAACAGGGAAGAGAAAGAGAGAGCACTTAAAGGGTTCAGGACGTACTGCAGCATGTATTTAAGAATTTTTGGAAGTGTAACACATTTGAAGAATGCTGTCTTTTGGGATATTGCGCCATTTAGCTAATAGAAGAAGTTTACCAGCGGTGGAGGATCATACTGCTTCCATCTTCAGTGTAAAAGAGGCAGGCAGTGCAATGGTTTAACGTGATTGATACACCTGAGGATGGCAGAATAATGCTGAAACATGAAGTGTGAAGTGACAAGTGAAATTGTATGCACTAAAAGACGGTAAATATATACACATTATGTGTAAAAGAGGAAGGTGAGGAACCAGCAGAGACAGCCTGATTGGTTCTTGCTCACTGTTCATTTTCTTACCATCAACCCTGAATATGGAGGTGGAAGGTTCCTTTGAAATGGTGGTAAACTTCAACCACTCTGCATGGCATAACATCTCAGAAGATAGCTCTTTTTATAATCTCCACTTTGAAAAACCTGATGTTCAGTGAGTTTATTTCTTGTTTTGCAGGGTTGAATTTCAGAGCAAGTTTTACAGTGGTAATGGGTACGGTTTTACCCCTTTCTCATTCAAGACTGTCCTTGAAGATGCACGTTTATATGGATAGAATTTCTACTTCGTTGTTGTGTCGACAGCCTCTATATCTCGATGTCATAACACAACAGGATGCAAGGAATAAAAATAAAAATTAATGAAGTTTCTGTTCTGGCAGAAAACTCTTGTTCATGGCTGTGTTATCTCTCAATTTTGTGTTTTACTTACTGGCGTTGTGGCGAGAAATTGTGCTTTATTAGAAACTCTTTGGATTTTTTTTAGTTTACCTATTCCTTTCAGCTGCACTATGGCCCTGGGGTTGACTCAGCCTCTAACAGAAGTGAGTAGCAGGAATCTTCCTGAGGGTAGAGGGCAGCTGGCGCGTAAGGCTGGCAACCTTACCTTCGTCTATGAGCTGATTGTCTATAGAATGTGGGAGCGTCAACATCTGACGGCCCTATTTACCGCCACGGCCTGTTGCAGCGATACCTTTGCCTTTTTTTCCTTCTATATCCTTTATTCCTTAATCATCCAATCCTGCAACAGTTCATACTCTGAGCTGCTAAATGTGCCACTGCGTAAACCATAAATTAAACCCATGTATTGTGCCGTGTTTCAAGTGTTGTCCAGATACATGAAATGGATATTCACAGAAAGCCAGGATAGCTCAGTCAGTATGGCAGCAGGCTATAGGCTGGATGGCTGGGGTGTGATTCCTGGTTAGGGTGAGAGATTTGTCTACTCCACAGCATCCAGCCTGGGGCTCTGGGGTGTGACCAGTCTCCTATCCAGTGGGTGTTAGAGACTCTCTCCTCATTGGTAAAGCAGCTGGAGCATGAAACTGACCACTCACATCCTTCTAGTGCCAAGGCTAGGAATAGTGGAGCTATATCTCCACTCCTAAATACGCCCTCATGGCGTGGTGCTTAACTAATTGAGCACAGGGACAAATTTATCTTTTTACCAACACTCATGAGCACCTCACTTAGTTTAGATATGCTGATATATCATTAGCTTTGTTTGAATGTTTACAAGCTGCAGATAAAAGGAAGGTTTCAAGAAGTTATGCTGTGGCTAATGGCCAAATATCAGCTTCTTTTCACAAGAACACTAGGTCTTCTGGTGGCCTCATACATTTTTCATGCAACTGCAACTAGGAGGTGTAGAGACATGGCTGCTGTCTGGCAGTCAGTCAGTCAGTCCCTGTATAGGACCAGTATTCTTTACGCTGTTCCCTCACTGCTCCTGGTTTGCTTAGGGCCCCTGAGCCTCGCCCTCCCTCCCTCTCTCTCCCATAACGTATTTTTCACACTTTGCTTACTCATCTAACCTCAGGGCAGAGCTGTCAGTTTCCACTGAAATACTGGTTATGATCTACGCAGACTACACAGTGTCACATCTCAGAAGATCATAATCTATTCTGTGTAATTTACATGGACCACGTGATCACTTTTATACCTGCAGCTGCCATGTTGAAGGATGTACACTTGTAACTGTAGCAACACAAAGGAAAGTGGATGACCTGTATTTATGTGGGTAACAGTGAAGTTAGTACTGCCTGTAGTTCTCATGCAACAACAAATTATTGGAATCTGAAGGGAAGAATCAGACATCTTCATTGGTTTATGAATTTAGTAAAGAAACTTAAATTTTCATTTTCCTTTGAGGAAAACTTAGGACATTGAAAGCAAGTGACAGAATCAGAACCACAGCCACTTAAATAAAAATCTTGACACAAATAATGAAATGCACTTGGACGGATGAACCATGAAAGGAATAGAGGTATGTTAACATAGATAAAATTAGAACCAGTACTGGACAGAAATTGTAAATATGAAATCTGATGGACGCAACATGTCAACAGAACTGTTACACAGTTACAGAGCACATGGGTCAAGGAACTGGTGAAGAACTTAGAAGGTACTGCTGGACAGTTGAGGTCAGAGTGAGGGCTGACAAGTGGCCCAGCTCCATAACTGCTAAGTGGTGATACTTATGATGATTTAACAAATAAACATTTATAGTCAAAATGTAAACTACTTTATTATACAAGAAGCTGCACAATGCAATTATCTGCTGTAATTACACTGTAAGAAGGGGGGCTGTACCACCATTACGTGAGAACTGCAGCATTTTGAATGAGGCTAACTTCATTTTCTGCAAAAGTGTAGTAAGAAGAAACTACTTGCTAGTGCAATTGTGACGTGTGTAGTATTGTGGGTTTAAATATCTTTGCAGTACTTCGTACCTTATGCAAGAAAAGCCCAAAGCCATGTGTGTTCATCAAGATCTTGGGTGTGGTGATTTTTGTTCCTTTTGTACCATGGAAATAGGACTTAGTAACTTTCTGATGGTGACATAATGATTTACATCAATATGTGATGGTGACGCACCATGCAGGATGTTTAGACACAGTTTAACATGTTAACATTGGTTGTTTGCAATCATGCTAATATTAGTATGTTATTTTTATAAGTCTCTTAATATTTTATTTTAGTGATTGTGCAGATTTCATTTATTCTGCTTTAATGCTATGTGCAGTACCACCATGTTACAGATGATGTGTGTTCCTGGAAATGTGTCCACTTCATATGAGCCCAAGTTTTACCTTATAAATAGGACACATCCCTCTGGAAATGAAGAACACTTCATGACGTTTCATTTCCCTGCTCTTTTAGGTATGCTGTGTGCGCCCCAACTTGATGGCCTCGTGCCGTGTGTCTCAAATGAGGGTCATATGCCACATAAGATGGCTGGGATAGCTCAGTTGGTATAGTTACCAAGTACAGACTGGATGCTTGTGGAACAAGGGTGTGATCCCCAGCAGGGGCGAGAGATTTGTCTCCACCGCAGTGTCCAGACCAACTCTGGAGCCCACCCGGTCTTCTGTCCAACGTGAACTGAGGGCTCTTTTCCCTGGGGTAAAGCGGTTAGTGCTGAGGTTACAAATGTGTGAACCTGTACCTCCACTCCTCTACTTAATTAAATAAGTCTGGGGACAACTTGACCTGACCTTCACCTGTAACGTGTTACATATACAAAAAGTTCTGGGGAAAACTAATCACCTACTTTCCTTTGATACGACAGAAACCACATAGAAAACTAAGAAAATTGGGGGGGGGGGGACAGACAGCAACATGATCTCATAAGCCTCCCAACAAAAGTTGGGGGACACAAATAGAGAGACTGCAAGGTGATCTCATAAGCCTCCCTTTATTTTTTCAAAGTAAAGAAATTAGACTAAAAGTGGGAATAGCAGACATGCAGACATCCCCCATATGTGGATGTTTGTATATTTCTTAACAGATAATCACATCTTACAAAAGAGTTTGTTTTGGCCGAATTTGTCATTGTTTTGCAGTTTGTATTTACAAAATTATGGTCTGCGTTGGGAACTCTGTAGTCATGTTCTGTGATTGCCATAACCCAAACATAGTATGTACTGTAGATGTACACTGTACACATTATATAAAATTATTTAATGCAAACGGCAAGTACTTTATGCGTACTGGAGGTAATCAAGTACCCCAAAGCATCGAGACATAAACTTGTGCAGCCACTTGATGTGTGTGAATGTAACATTCCCATCAGTTTTGCATTTCCTGCAACATACATAACAGAAGAATGCCAATTATGAAATTTGCTCTGCATCTTGCCTATGTTTACATTAGCCATGGCCATGCACGTACTCTGGCTGAGTTCTTGTATTAGTATACTCATTCCCAATCTCTTTTTGTAATCATACAAGTAAATTTTGATTTCTCAGATCGAGTATTATTTGTTATTCAAAATTTTAGTCAGCATATATTGTGATAATGACAAGGAATGCAACCATATACCAATGAAGCATGGGTACAGGTCTGTGTTCTCATGAATTTCATCGTTTCTTCTGACTGAAATGGCCCTACATTTCTTGGACAGGACACTGGCATGATGCACGGTGCCAGAGAAGCTCTGAGAACTGGTACTGCTTCGAAACATAGAGGAATGATAGCCCTCAGTTTGCAGTTATTCAGAGATGCACCATAACTCAGAAGATGTTTTGTCCCCAGAAATCCAGGAATTTGATAGAAATTGAGGAAGGACAGAGAGGCACACATCATGTTGGATGACTTGGATCCTTAAGGTCAGTACAGGAACTATCTTGATTAATATAACCATCTTCTGGGATGTGACGCTATGTAGTTTTGTAGACAGGTACAGGTATTATGGTTTGTAGTGTGTTCTTATTCCCCAAAGACTGAAGCAGCAGGTTTCTCTGAACCATGGGTATCTATCTATGAAACTGCATGGTGTCACATCCAACCATATGATCTTTAATACTTCATGTTGTGAGAATTTCGAATCTTGATCTTGACTGAAGTTTTTAACTTTGTCATTACTGTACGGTCCCCTGAAATTAGTCAACCCTGGTTTCTCAGGTCCCCCGAAAATTACTGTGTGGCATGAGAGGGATCAGATAATCGTGCAAACTTTTGGTTGGAAAATCAGAATGGAAGAGACCTCTTGGAATACCTAAGCATAGGTGGGAGGATAATATTAAAATGGATCTTAAAGAAATGAAGAACCAGTTTCATAGTCTTGTGAACATGGTAATGAACCTTTGGGGAATTTCTTGCCTAACTGAGCAAATGTTAGTTTCTTACAAAAGAATGGGCCCTGTGTAGTTAGCTAATGTGTGAGGGGTGTGGATTGGATTCATCTGGCTCAGGATACATACCAATGACAGGCTCTTGTGAATATGGTATTAAACTTTTGGGCTCCATAAAATACAGGAAAATTCTTGAGTATCTGAGAGACTGTTATTTACTGTAAATAACTATGCTTCATGGAAAAAGCTGATTGATACTGCGTCATTGAACAGCCAACAAAGGAATGACCGGTAAACACAGTTCACTCGCGTTGCCAGGGGGGCTCCTGAAATTGACACAAGAAGACAATGACTGAGTTATGATTTGGGGGTGTCCAGTGTTCAGAAGTAAGCAGTTATGCAGACAGTGTTCTGGACTGAATAGTGTCATGTGATATTAACAGAGAAATGTTTGCATGTATCAGGAAAGGTAATATTTTCACTTGTCATTTCACAGTTGGTGTTCAAAAAAACACGAGGCATTTAAATATGCGGACAAATTTGATGGAAGATAGCCTTGGTACTCTGCAGAACTCCGACATCATTTCTACCCCCAAATTTGGTAAGTGAAATTATTTTTGTTTCTGACAGTTGGTGTTCTTAGGGGCAGATGTATCTTCTGAGCAGATTATGCCTTTTGAAGGGTTTGATATTTTCACAGCGATGTAGTTCTTATTATGATTGCCTGAGTTATCACACCTTGCAGTCTGGTAGGTTAAATACAAACATTATGGAAAATTCACCTCCTTCCATGTTTGGAACAGAAAATAGCGGCAGTATGTTCCTATGAAACGCCTGTAACCAGCTACCAGACTACATAACGTCGTAGTCCGGAAGACCAGAGTGTTAGTTTTTGTAAGATTTGAGGTCTCTGTGGTAGTGAAGGTTCTTAATTTGGTTCTTGGGACCTTCCTACTTTTTGAAGATGGTTTGTTCTGTGATGTGCTGGTGTGAAGTCATGTAGGCTGTTAGTGACATATCAAAAGAACCTGCTTTCTCTATTTCTCTGATCTTCCCTGAAGAGGGAAGCAGCAGGTTACTCTGATAGCTTGTAGCTATCTCCTGAACCAGCAATTCCCAAAGAAGGAGACGCCCTGCAGGCACCATGAAACCTGGTTGTGCGTCAGAAACGCCAGATGTGCAATGTGACTGGTTACGTTAGATTACAGACATACACAGCAGCATAGGAAATGTGTTTCATATAAATCATTAAGGTTCTCAAATAATTATATATTTAAATCACTAACCAAATTTTAAGATATTTTTATATGTTTGGAGGCAGGGTTGCTAGCAGGTTGGCATAGTGGTAAAACTCTGTTTTCATATGTGGGGCTGTTGGTTTGAATCTTGGCTGGGATGCTGCATTTTGTGGTTTTCCTCCCTCCCTCCAGACAAGTTCCAGGATAATAACTTGGTTAGCCATGACTTTTTCCTTCCGGATCTTTTCCAGTTCACTTATCTTCCCACCATGCAACGCTGCATAGTGGAGATCCTGGCAGCATCAGATCATGAGTCACAGAAATGTAGGCTCGGGGCCTCAGTCATTTTTATTCATATCAAGGGAGCCGCAGACTAAAGGAGTTTGGGAACCACTGTACCAGACTGTACGGCGCCATGTCCCTATACCGTGAAGTCGCACACATGAAAGTTTCTACTTGCACACTGTGGTAGTTATTGGCGGTTGACCCCGTTCGCTTCACAATTTTGCCACCATGTTGTGTAATTATGGGAAGCAGTGTGCTGACACATTGGCAGATGAGGCAGGTAATTTCGAAGTTACCACCCTGTTTCCTGGTACAATTGTGCCACCAGTCATAGAACTTTATTCTAAAAAACAAAATTCGAAGCCAAATCTTAGGACTTGCATCCAACAAGTCCCTTAGGTTAGGCAATCGGTCTCGTTTTTAAAACATTAGGCCTTTGGTTCCATTTTGAAATGGTTATGCTCTTGGTTTAATTTTGTAGGAATAAATATCTGAAGACCTTTTAAGGTTAGGCTTTGAGTTTTGTTTTTTACAAAATAAACTTCCTTCCATGTAATGCTAAGATTAAGAATTCCATGGACCAATGTTTCCGCTCCCCCACACGTTTTCACGGCAGCGTGCTTAATTAAGTAGGCGATGAACAACTTTGCCTTTTCATCCTTAATGGCTGACAGCGTTGACATGGCTTTGAAGTTCTGGAGCTTCAGTACATAAGTACGAGTACCTGTTTCTATGACAGCAGTGTGACTTGGAAATAACTTCATGTTGCGTCATAATGATAGTGGTTAGTACTCATCATCTGCCTCATCCACCTCTCCATCAGCCGAGTCCACCCCCACCTCCTCGTAGTCCTTCTCCAGGGCCGCCAAATCCTCGCGGGCCTCAGAAAATTCGCCCTCTTCCATCCCCTCCCCGACGTACCAATGCACAAAGGCACGTTTTGCGTACATCAGGTCGAATTTGTGGTCGAGGCGTGCCCAGGCCTCAGCAATGGCTGTCGTGTTGGATAGCATGCAGACGGCGCGCTGCACCTTGGCCAGGTCTCCGCCTGGCACCACTGTCGGCGGCTGGTAGTTGATCCCCACCTGCGCAGTACACACAGATGTTATGTACAGTGTGCCTTCATTGCATAGCAAAATTCTGTGGTGGGACGTGACGCACCTTGAAGCCAGTGGGGCACCAGTCCACGAACTGTATCGTCCTTTTCGTCTTGATAGTTGCTATAGCAGCATTCACGTCCTTGGGAACAACGTCGCCCCTGTGGACACAGGAATCACGCGAGTCAGGCGTGGAAACCCTTTGCAAAACAGTGCAACTGTTTGTACCGCCTGCTTCCAAACATCCTGCGCACATAATCTCTTTACGTGTTTCCACAATAGACAAACATTATTTCTCCTACAGGCGCGTCCACATTACTTGTGCTCGTTCTCGTGCTCGTGTGACTCGCTATGCTAGCGAGTAATGTGGACGATATGACAAGTCACGAGACAAGCAAATTTAATTTAAAAACTATAGCCAGTAAATTAAAATATGACTACAGCCTATGCACACTACGAGTAAATATACGGATCCTCACGCGCCGAAGCCTGGCGAGTAACTGAAGTAGTGTGGACGAAGATTTACGATCACAAGTAAAAGCCAGACGAGTCTCCCGACGAGCACGAGTAATGTGGACGCGCCTTAAGAATGTTAGTCTGTTAGTCTTTGTAATGGAGAAGCATTGTGTTTTCTTTGAGTTTGAAAACTGAATTTTTAAATGACATTTAAGTGATTCCGTGTTCCACTTCATGTTTTGCATTCAGCCTTCCACACGTTATCAAAATTTCGCACTAAAATACCTCCTCCCAATCAGTGGCGGCTCGTAGCTAAAATTAGTGGGGGTGTTGCTCCAGAAGCGCACAGTTCCATACAAAGATTTGGCTACTGACATTAAGCTTAAGGATTATATATTGTATTGTACAAGTATAAAGAAAGAATTAAAGAAAAAAGGACTCGTTATATAAATGTTATCGATAATATCATGTGGAAATTGGGGGTGCCGCAGTTCCGCAGTGCCTATACACGGGCCGCCCCTGCTCCCAATATTAATTCGAAATTTTACCCTATCGCAGCGCTCCCAATGCTGATGTCAGAATTTCGATGGAACGCAGCGAAGCCCCTGCTCTACTTCTTTCCTCTACTTACAACAAAGTCCACTTCCCAACGCTTTGCCTTCTGTCCAACCTACCGTTACCAGGAGGAGGAGTGGGCGCTCCTTCGGTAACCTCAGTGCCGGTGAAGTTCCCTTTTCTCCCCCTCCCCCTCCTTCAGACAGTTACTGATGAAGGCGTGAGTTTCCTGCCGATACATGAACACTGGAAGTACACTGAAATTGACTCTTAATTACTTTCCAATGATTACGCCACGGCCCACATCACTAACTAATGGCCAGGGCCCGGATTTTGATGACGTGTCATCTTTTTCTCCTTGTATCCTATGCGATGCTCTTAAATATATACATCTCAGATATGAGCTGCTGGTTACAGAAATGTAAATTTTATAGGTAATTTTTTGTCATTTTTTGGTTTAAGGTCTTCATTCTTGGGGTAATTTTTTGGACTTTTAAGTGTAACTCTTGTCATTTTTGGCCATTTTAGGGAATTTTTCTTCATATGTTTTCTGAAATGTGAATAACATGGAAGCGAAGTGTTCTTTCTCTTTCTCCTTTAGGTCATTTTTCTGGATTTTTTCGGTCATTTTTTAAATATTTTCAGGTCATCAAAATCCAGGCCGTGCTAATGACACACCTTCATTCCCGTAGTCGTTGGAGTGTGCGTTGTGGTGTTCCGGCCATGATGGCTACATATGTACATAAAAGGCCCGAAGGTGGAGCTACCTGTACAGCATGCAGCAGGCCATGTATTTTCCGTGACGCGGGTCGCATTTCACCATCTGATTGGCGGGTTCGAAGCACGCATTCGTGATCTCCGCCACCGTCAGCTGCTCGTGGTAGGCCTTCTCGGCGGAAATGACAGGCGCGTAGGTCGCGAGTGGGAAGTGGATGCGCGGGTAGGGCACCAGGTTCGTTTGGAACTCCGTCAGGTCGACGTTCAGGGCGCCGTCAAAGCGCAAGGACGCGGTAATGGACGACACGATCTGCCCGATAAGACGGTTCAGATTCGTGTAAGTTGGCCGCTCGATGTCCAGGTTCCGCCTGCAGATGTCGTAGATGGCCTCGTTGTCCACCATAAAGGCACAGTCCGAGTGCTCAAGCGTCGTGTGTGTCGTGAGAATTGAGTTGTACGGCTCCACGACGGCTGTAGACACCTGCAGCACGCACCGCCTGTCTCAGAAATACTGTCACAACTTGACGCAAGCCACTTGCCACATCTGCACGATATACTGCGTGCCCCACAGTTACCCACATGCTATTTAGAGACATCACTTGGACATCAGTAGGATATACCACGTGTCTCAGAAATATAACATAATTTTCATACAAACAGCATGATAGAATGGAACAATATTGTGAACAAATACCTTGACTTTGGACATCGGTGTGATATATCGCGTGTCCCACAGATACAAAAAAAATGTATTATGCAAAATACCAGATAGAATGAAAAAATTCCAAAAATGTGTCACTGCGAAAAATGGAGAATATGTTTGCATTAGTTCTGCCACATCTCCTTATGACCTGACTTTAACTCAGGTTAAGGGCGCGTGGAGCTATACGGCACTAGGTGTTGCTTGTTACTGTGGCTGTTACCTGTGGTGCTGGATAAATAGAGAACTCGAGCTTGCTCTTCTTGCCGTAGTCCACCGAGAGGCGCTCCATGAGCAGAGACGTGAAGCCGGAGCCGGTTCCTCCTCCGAAGGAGTGGAAAATGAGGAATCCCTGGAGCCCCGTGCACTGGTCGGCCAGCTTCCTAACTCGGTCCAGCACCACATCTACCAGCTCCTTCCCGATCGTGTAGTGGCCACGAGCGTAGTTGTTGGCGGCGTCCTCCTTCCCTGTGATGAGCTGCTCGGGGTGAAACAGCCGGCGGTAGGTCCCCGTGCGCACCTCGTCTGCAACAGGTAAGCCAGGCCTCGCCAAGTAGTCCCGGCTCCTAGCCTACCTTCCTTATTAAAAACAAAATTGACTTATGATACCTCGTTTCTGTCTGTGGCCTCCCCTAACGTTGCTAGGCAATGACTCGGTAAACACATTGTCGCTGCAATGAACACACCCGCAATGATAAAAGAAATTTTGGACGTGGTGTTTTCTGTGTGGTTCGTATAGTTTCAGATGCTCAATATATAGTGAAAGGAAAACAGGAGATTAGGTAGCGCTAACATGAAAGTAACACTCTGCAGGCACCAATCAGATCAGTAATGAGGTATGCTTGCTCCACCTGGGAATTTGCTGCAAACGCCCATCTTTTGAAATTGCAGCGCCTTCAAAACAAGTTCTGCGCACCATTGGAAATGTTTCAAGGTGTACACTGATTCCTCCAGAAGGGCTCAGCTCCGTGAGTAAGTAAGTAAGTAAGTAAGTAAGTAAGTATGGCTTCTGCTTTTAATGTCTTCATATGTAGATTACTGCCTTCTGGTGATGTGGCACCTTGTAACATTGCAAATATTTACCGACGTTTCGGTGAAGCATGCGTTCTGCATCAAAAAGACGGGAGAAGCGCATCCCACGAAACCGTCGGTAAACATGTGCGTGTTGGAGGTGCCACCGCCAGATGCTTGGCTCTGACAAATCTAATTTCAGCGGCCGTAATTCTGGTCCCTGCGTGCTGCATTGTTAGCCACCCACTCACACACGCAACTCATTGACCACCGAGCAGGTTGGCATAGCGGTAACGCACTAGACTTGTATTCCGGAGGTCCTTACTTCGAACCTGGGTCAGGACACAGTTCCTTCAGGCAAATTCGTACACATTCTTGTGTTTTCCCCTCCAGATCCTGTCCAATTGACCATCGTACGGAGAACTCACCAACCACCGTGGGTTCCAGGTCTACGAACACTGCACGCGGTACGTGCTTGCCCGCGCCAGTCTCACTGAAGAAGGTATTGAAACTGTCGTCACCCCCGCCGAGGGTCTTGTCGGAGGGCATCTGTCCATCTGGCTGGATGCCGTGCTCCAGACAGTACAGCTCCCAGCATGCATTGCCTATCTGGACGCCCGCCTGGCCGATGTGCACTGAGATGCATTCCCTCTGTAAGCAACGACATCATCATCATATAACATTAATTATTATTATTATTATTATTATTATTATTATTATTATTATTATTATTATTATTATTATTAACAGATTTCCATGAAACAACGTAAGGTTTGAGCTCTTCACGGCGGGAACTATGAAGAATGCCGTCTTCTGAGATGTGGCGCCGTGCAGATATTGTATAAATTGACGTTTCGGAGGGACGTATCGCCTCCATCTTTAGGGTGTATAAAAATCGCGAGTAAGGAACCAGCGTGAACCTGAAGGTGGAGGCGATACATTCCTCCGAAACGACGATTTACACAATATCTACACCGCGCCACATCCCAGAAGACGGCATTTTTCTACTAAACCATGTTTCTGCAGCAGTCCAGCTTCATCTTCAGGGATGCATATCGCGGACTCTGCTTATACGCGGTTCTCCATTTGTATTCGCTTTTCCCCACCGCTAGGAACCTAGGCTCATAGCGGCCCCTGTACCCCTAATCTTCATCTTCTCTCAAGGCACTGACTGGTCTTTAGAACCGCGGTTTAGTTAACCGAAGTGTTCTCACTAACACAACCCCGTAAGCACTATAGACCACTGAAGGTCTCAGCGCTAGGGCCAGTTTTATGGCTCACCCCTCATACTTAACCTCCGTGGTTGGTGAGGGATCGCTGTGTTTGCAGTGTGAGGCAGTAACAAAACTGCATTCTTCACTTCATCACGTGCGCAGTATACATATATACAAGAAAGTACTGTGGTGCTGAAAAGGAACGATCCCGAGACCTTCGCGACGTCGCACGTTTTGAGTACGTTTATCACACAATTTGTAAGATAGGTTAGGGCAGATGGTTGGTTTTCCGTCCAATATTTGAACCAGAGACTCCCAAATCCTCGTACAAGCCACTCCAGCTTTCTGCTCAGACCCCTGCAGTAGTTCGTGTTGACTACACGCATTACAGATGGGGTACATAGACTGCGGATATTATGCAGCCCTTTACTGCGGGTGACAAATATTTGTTGTTCGGTACGATTCATTTGAACCCCATAGAACTAAAATCTCAGTCCCCTCTGCTACCCTCAAGATGGAATCAGTAAGTTCCTCCGAAACATCGCTATCCACCAAACTAAACAGTATTGTCTATAATTCTAGTGCTCATCGCCGTTAGAACATGAAATGCCCAAGAAACTCATCTCATCTGTAGCTGTCACCTGCTGTGACATTCATAGTTTCTGCTGTCTGCCCCACAGTGCATTTATGTGCTTCGTAAGATCCTCACAGTAAACACCGATTGTTTCTTTTAAGTCTTTGTAATGGAGACTTAAGTATGTTTTCTGTGCAGTAGGAACTGAATGTGTTTTTGGAGCGTTCGCAGTTGGAAAAAAATAATTAAAAAATGCCTCTTCACTTCGGAATGCCAGTCAGACTGTTTCTAATTAAAATCGGACAATACCGGACATTTCGCATGAAGAGGTACGCACGTCTCTGAGCGCATCTCGCTGAATGTTTATCGGACTGAAAAATGTTTCAAACGAATGTCGTAAAGAAAAGTGAAACACATTTTATGTTCCGGGTAATTAAATCGAAAGACGGGCCAGGATCGCTACCCCGTGCGCGCATTTCCTTCTTAATTATCATTCAGATGAGCTTCGTGCTTCAGAGCGGCAGGATCCCACCCTCCATCTCATGTCTGCCCACCACATCGCGTGGAAGCTGGCCATAAATGAAGAGGGTGAGGGTGCAGTCTCGCATTTCCTGTACCCCGACGGCAGGTTCACCGAACTCTGCCAACTGTGGTGATAATTATGCGATTCTCTGCCTTATCGCGTGCCTCATTTTATATGCTTTATGATGATATGGCGGCAGGCAGGGCATAACAGAATATCTTGCCTCTGCGAGTAGCAACAGAACAAGGATCACCCTACCCAAAGTGAGTGCACTATGACATCAACGTTTCGCACGGTCGCCATATTTGTAACTTACAGACGTTTCATACGCAGCGTGCAGTTGTGGTTATGTTCTCTCTGCACGCCCAACTCCAGTTTCTCATTGGTTGTCATCATCAAACCGAAAACTGAAGTGTTTCCGCACTACAAGAAATAAGTTGCGTGCTTCTTCGGAGTCATAATACCGCACACAATTCGTGGATCATAAACTGATACCAATGTCGCTCCCACCTCATAATTTCGCTTGTCTGCCATGCTGTTATTGTTATACAAACTGTCCAAACGGGACGGTGGGGTTGCCTCCAGTAGCATAACTTTCATACCAAATTTGGTGAGAGCCGGGATAGCTCAGTCGGTATAGCGACGGTCTACTGGCTGGACGGCTGAGGAATTGGAATTCGGTCCCCGAAAGGGGCAAGAGATTTTTTTTATTTTTTTCATAGCGTCAGGACTGCCTCTGGGGCCCACCTAGCCTCCTGTCGAATGGATACCGGGGACACTCCTGAGGGGTAAATCAGCCGAGACGTGAAACTGACCACTCACCTCCATATAGAGCAGAGGTCAAGAGTGCCGGAGCTGTATCTTCACTCCCGAATACGGCTTCATGGAATAGTGTTTAATTAATTAAGCACAGGGTCAACAATACCTTTTTGCCTTTACCAACATTGGCGAAAATCGGCCATCTAGTTCAGAAGTTGAAAGGGGAAATTGCACCGACACACATAGAGCATACTGACTTCGTGAGCTCGCTTTGTTTCCCGGAGAAACGCCAGGGAATTCCGTTGAGCAATGCAGGTCACACGATTGTCGGGACGGACCTTGAACGGGCTACAAAAGCCTCTCTCTCGTATCGGCACGTATTGTTATTGCCGTTCGCTCAGAAAGGAGTGGCCAGTCACTTGTTCATAAGCAAGTTTTTGCTACTTTGACCTATATTTTCTATAAACAGCGACTTCTCGTGCAACGGCAGGCGTAGTGACTTCGCGAACCTGACGCATTTCCAAAATGCTGTTTCTTTAATTCCGAATTTACATGTGATTTAGTTATCAACCCCGAAAATTATTCATCATTTATACACACTGCTCGGGACTAACGTAATTACACCCCCACCGCTAATCTACACATTTCACAAAGCACTGCACGCCAAGTCTTCACTAGCCGTTCCCTGGCAGTGGCTTCTAACAGTGGTAGGTCTTCAGCTTCATGCGCTCAGGCCATTTCTTCACAGCCTTCCATACAGAACTCACTCTTAACTCACTACTCCCAACTGAAGTATAGCGCCATGTCTTCTCAGCCTCCCTTGTATAGCTCAACTGACTGGGTCGCTTCAGTTGGCTTCCTGTAACCCATTTGCACGGACCGAGCAGAAAATACCGTTTCGAACAGTAACACTTGTTGCTTGCGTATTCGTTGCCTCAGGAACGTGTTTACCGATCCGTTGCCTAGAAACGGGCTTTGTTTATTCGCGTATCTCGCAGTCATTACATAGCAACGGTTGTACACGCTTCAGTGTTTTACATAAACAGTAGTTTGTAAGAATCGCCTTACACATTGCGCATGCGCGCATGCCCGTGTTTAGCCGAACTGTTTCATGATTCAGTCTTCAGCGTAATTGTATTAGAAATTTATATGCTGGAAAAGGGAGTGCACACCCACGGCCTTCCTGATACCCAGATGCATTTGTCTCTATGTTAGGTAGAGCAGGGCCAGAGTTAAATTACTTTCTTCTATAAAACCGAGTTATTCTCAAGTTTTTTTCTGTGGTTAATTGCATAATGAAGAGTTCATAATCTGTGCTGTTCGCCAAACATTATTAGGACGTTCACATTGGAGGGGGGCCACATATGACATATGACAGATGGAAAATACAGAATTTCGTTGGAAAACTTAAAGGAAAGAGTCCATTTGAGGAATCTAGATATAGATGGAGAATATTGAAATTTATCTTAAGGGAATGAAGTGCGACGGTATACGTATATTGCAGTCTACAGGGTGTGAATAGGGTCCGTTGTGAACCTGGTCACAACGTCATACTAATCACTTAAACCCTGAAGCTTGAGGCAGTGTTTGTATCCACCTACCAAGAGATCGTAGTGTGGCATAGGCCGTAAAGTGGCAAAGTAAATGCCGTTGAAGCCTCAAATCTCATCTGGTTAACTATCTGACTGACTGAAAGCACTATTAAGTAAATAACTATCTATCTAGATACCTAAGAAACAAACTAATTGGCCGCTGTTTACTAGTTCAGGCGCCTCCTACATATCGCCAGGATTGTGCGGCAACTTCTCCTACTTTGATGTTATGCGTGTTGCCGAAGTAGATTGTTGCAGGCGAGCGAAATACGGTTCAACTTGAAGCAGAAGTTCGTTAAAGCATGCGCATTACAGAACGTGCGTGGCTATGAAGGGACTGTTTGGTTATGATGAGACTGTACACAAACATAAGTGACTTAGGAAGTAAACTCAGCGGTATGGTCGCGCCATAGCTCAAGCGGTTAGTCGCTGGCTACCCACCGCGGCGGCTCGGGTTCGATCCCGGGTCTGTTCAAGTGGTATTTGTGGTGGACAAAGTGGCGCTGGGACGGGTTTTCTCCGGGTACTTCGGTTTCCCCGGCCAATCTTCATTCCACCAAATTCTCAAACATCATGATCACCCGGGGCAGGCTACAATAGGCCAATCAGTGGCCGCCGTGCCTAGTGGACCCAGTTGGACTCCACCCCGCACTAAAAAATCTCAGCGGTAGGGCGTCTGACTTTAATTACTGAGCGCTTCATTTGCATATCGTCCGGGGGGCGGATATCCTGTCCGGGGATTCTGGTTACTTTCGTCTTAACAGTATTGGGCGAAGACTGAAAATTATGAACCTCCTCATTTTACAGTTTTCTCCCCCTCTCGTTCCCTCCNCCCCATTGGTTCGGAATATCCGAGAACAGTGACGAAGTAGCTAAGTAAACCGGCTATGCCTCCCTGAGGATGTTTATGGACCATATTCCTCCTTTAAATTAGATTTCTAGAAAGCCCGTTGAAACTCAAGGGGAAACAATTTCTTTCACATGTTCATTC